CATGTCTAGACACATTTAATCTTCTGTCTTCATCTATCTCCCTCCCAGAAATCTTTCCAGTTAAGTGTCCCTGCTTTCTGTTCTCATATTGTATCTCAAAAACAATGACCCCATCTGTTTGAAATATTTTGTCTTATCTCTCCTTCCAGGTGTCATATATTCTAGTTTTCTATTCTCATTGTGTCCGAAAAAACCACGACCCCCTTCTGAGGTTTCTGATAGGTTGTCTGTCTTTGGATTTTAGCCTTGCTAAGAACAACTGGATTGCTCTCTTTGACTGTCTATGAAGCTGTAGGTATTCTATACAAGCTTTGACAGTTCAGCGGCTAGATGCTTGCTTGCGAGCCCAAAGATCTAGAGTTCTAGTCCGCACCGGACAGATTTATATAAAAATATTCTTGGCTCTCAGGTAGACTTGAGTACTGATTAGTCTACAGGATGTGGGTCTTGCATATGCTAATGGCATGCAAAGGGTCTTTTACTTCATCAGCATGTAGCAGTTCCTCTGTAGAACGTTGCTCTCATCAGTCTACCTGAGCGACACATGGTCTCTCACTAGCTTTATCATTTTCCTGACCGACTGAGCTTTTACCCCTCCAGAACATCACACAGAGCGATAAGCACCTGGTGACACAAAGTGCCACATTCAGATGAGAATCACCAGGGGACAGGTCGCAGAAACATTCTTAAATCCTTAGGTTGGGTTATATTAGTGCATCCCCAGCAACAGCCAGGGTGAGGCTTTGAAACAACACAATATTGTGTCCGGCACTGGGATGCACTTATTAAGGCTTTTTCCCCCCTACTCAATGGGTCACTTATATTCTGTTTTTAAAAGGAGTAGAAAATTATAGGGAAGAGAAAAAGTTAGCGAGAAACAACAAATAGTTTATGTTAGCTTTACAAAATCGACCACAATAAACAAACAAAGGACGTTGCGGCGATTAGCCTTCATCAGCACATAAAGGACAACACAGTACACATACACAAATATGCTCTAACTATGAAGTGACTACATGGGACTCTAATGTATAAAATAAATGATACTCATCTGTATCCCTGGAGAAAAAAACTTTTACAATGAAATGACGGTCAGCCTATATATCTCCAATGCGCAGGTGGGGGGGGGGGGGCGAGAAAATGGGCGGATTAGACACCAACAGCGTACACTGAGTGTCTAAAGAGGGAGGGAGGGGTTGGCCTATAGGGCGTAACCGCCCATCTTCATGCTGTTCATCCCCTGCCCCTCCTGGAAACAATGCCTTCTGCTATTATTATTTTGTCCAACCCATTAAGGTGCTCGATATGGCCAAAATATTTTAGCTTCCAAGACAAGATGCTGTTTATTAGCCAATCTTCCTTGATGTTCGGATCTTTTAGAATGTCAGTGTTTCTCCTCTACTTAACTGACTATTCTGAATCACATCTCTCAGACTTCAAGAAATTGCCTGGCTTGTTTATTAGTTGTCCAGGAATAATGATTTCACAACATTAACAACGAACAAATGCCTGCTGAATAATGGGGAATATTTACATTGGATCTTTATTTATGTATATGGGTTGCAAAATTTTATAAGACCAACATTCGCTATATACAACATGCACTTTACAGTCGGCCTCAGGCACCAACAGAAAATGTAAAACAATACACAGACATTTTCTTATAACTAACTGTTCACACATTTAATATTTTTTCAAACACATATGTGTTGCCATTCAGCAGAGAATAATACTCATTATTATTGAGCACTTAAGCAAGGATTAGCCACACCCCCCCATGCTTTCTCCGTGTCAGTGCCCATGCACTCAGCTCACGTGATGGTACAATATTAAATTTTGGCTTACACTGGTTTCTCAGATGTGGCCAATGGCTTGCCTAGGACAAGAACACTGACATGATCTGAGACTTCAATCATATTTTTGTTTTACCCTGGCTGTTTTAATGAGTAGGATATGGGAGTCAAGGCTGTCTTTGTGTATATGAGAAGGTTCTAGGCTTTTCTTGCACATGCCAAACAAAATCAAATGCAGCCAAAATTATATACTTAACTCAAAATACTTAACTCAAAACATAATAAATATGTCTTGCAAGTAAAAGTAAGTAAAGATCCCTTTTCACGCCTTTAGGCATATGGGAAGAGCACCCATAATTTTAAAGACCAAACAGAACTAGATGGGTAATGTGATCAGCATTACGCCGGCAGCCTTTGCTTCATTAGGACACACATCCTGGTACCCATTTTAGGCTGGGTTGACCTGTGACGCCCCATACCATGATAAAAATCGATCACTGCACGTTGGAATTATGAGCTGGACTCGCAATGCTGCTATATATGCCATGCAAGGATTTACAAATCAATACGTAATGAAAGCAATTCATTTCTACTGTCAAACTAGAGTACATGCTGTCAATATCTTGTGCCTTTGACAGATCTGTTACCGTACACTGCATTCTTTGATGAATGTCCACTCAACATCCTTCAAATAAAAGAAACAGTCACCACTCTCTGGACGGATTTGAGATGAACCAAGCCATTTTTTGAAACGGTCAGAAACAGAACCTATGCATCAGGGGACAACAAGCATACACTCTTTTATTCAAGGGACAGCACTTATCGCATGACTATGCCATGATTATGTTTAACACACATAATTTTGTGTGGTGCCACAAATGGGTTTCAAATGAATGCCCTACTACTTGAATGCCATAAGGTAGTAGTTTCACAGCCAGTATTCTTTTCTATAGGATGTTTTGCTGATGAAAGTTAACTGCCGCAATGTCCTTTGTCTATCGTTACCAAACCCGTAAATCCAATGATTTTCCAATTTGTTCAAGACTTTATGTCATTTGAGGCTTGCAGGTGGAATTTTCAGTTCTGCTCTATCATGGGCAATTTTTTATATCATATTTCCAATCTAATCTTCCACCTCTAGTTTTTATCCCAAATGTTTGTCACAGGAATTTTTTGGGACGTTCCCACTTCCCATATTAACAAGCACAGAGTTCATTAAGTTAGGGTTTTTCCTCTGAAGTCGAAATGCCTAAGAGTTTAGAAACAAACAGCCTGCATTCAAATAAGCTAGATCTGTAAAACATTTGTACACGCAAAACTCAGGTTCTGGAACAAAATTTCTGTCCATAAGTAGATGAGCGACCAGAAATTACAGCCGGAGTTTACAACCAGTGAACGCTAAGAAGAACCAGAAGTAGTTATTCCAGATTGTATCCACTTCCGACTACAATGACAGCAGAGCTAAAAACATTAAGTTGTGGTGTATTTTACAAGTCAGTTCAGATAATTACACAGTAGGTACTGTTATGGCGGTGGGACATTATACTTACATTAAACCCATTCAGACTTTATACAAGTACACTTAACCCTCTCAAGAGTTTATGCAAACACATTTAACTCACTAAAACAAAAAATTATACACTGCAATGGAAAATAAGCATACATTATATTTACTCAAACTTTCTTCTTCTTCTTAAAGTCCATGCAGTGTGGTGCTGGTAGTCATGTCTATCCACAACCTGTCTAGCATCTGTTCTTTGGGTCTTTTTCTGCCTCTTTTCCCCTCCAATTTTCCTGTCACAATGTGTTTTCTCCTTCTCATCACATGACCAAAGAATGTAGATTGTCTTTCTGATGTGGGCAATCATTTCTCTCCGTACGTCAGTTTCTTTCAAGTTGTCTACATTGCTCTTTTTATCTGTCCAGGGTAATCTCATTATTCCTCTAAAAAACCACATCTCTGCAGCTTCTCCAACATTATACAAACATAATTAACCCTCTTAAGAGTTTATTCAAACACATTTAACTCATTCTAAAAAAAACTGTATACTGCACTCCACCTAGTGAAAAATAATAAGCATACTTTATCTACTCAAACATGTATTCAAACCACACAGAATTTATACAAGCACACAACTCTATTCAAAGCACACAACTCTATTCAAACCACTCAGAATTTATACAAGCACACAACTCTACTTAAACATGAATTCAAACCACTCAGAATTTATACAAGCACACAACTCTACTCAAACATGTATTCAAACCACTCAGAATTTATACAAGCACACAACTCTACTCAAACATGTATTCAAACCACTCAGAATTAATACAAGCACACAACTCTACTCAAACATGTATTCAAACCACTCAGAATTTATACAAGCACACAACTCTACTTAAACATGTATTCAAACCACTCAGAATTTATACAAGCACACAACTCTACTCAAACATGTATTCAAACCACTCAGAATTTATACAAGCACACAACTCTACTCAAACATGTATTCAAACCACTCAGAATTTATACAAGCACACAACTCTACTCAAACATGTATTCAAACCACTCATAATTTATACAAGCACACAATTCTACTCAAACATGTATTCAAACCACTCAGAATTTATACAAGCACACAACTCTACTTAAACTTGTATTCAAACCACTCAGAATTTATACAAGCACACAACTCTACTCAAACTTGTATTCAAACCACTCAGAATTTATACAAGCACACAACTCTACTCAAACTTGATAGAAACACATGACACCATTTTGTGGCACACAAAACACACTATGACCAGCAACCACTCATATATCAATGTACGGTCTATGGGAGACTGAGTCTGTGTGCAAGAATCTGTGTCCTCAATCAAGATAATAATTTTTTAACATTCAGCCATATATCTATTTGTGTGTCCATACGAGATTGAAATCTGTAGGGAAGTACCTGTGCGCTCAATGAAGATGATATTTTAAGGAACAACCAAACATTCACTCTTGCATCTGTGTGTGATCTATGGGGTGAGACTGAGCTCTGTATGGAAGTACCTGTGTGCTCAATAAAGATAACACTTTTAAAATAAACATTCATTTCTGCATCTGATCTAAGAAGGGGCTGAAGTTTATGGGGGCATCTGTATGTGCAATGAAAAAGATCATCAACACGACAAACAAGCACTCGTCCATACACAAGCTGTGGCTTACCCCACAGACTTCCTACCTAATCTACTAAATACTCCTTTCTTCTTGCCATCTGCAGCAACCTTGCTAACTTTTTTGTCCATGTTCATCTTCGATGTTGTTAGTTCAGTCGATGAGACGACTGGAGACTCTTCCTGTTTAGTTCCTAGCCGGCCTAGAATTTGTGCTGTAGAAAAGAAGAAAAAAAAAGACGAAATATAGAAATTGCTTTTAATCACAAAATAGTACTGAAATCTAAGGTGTGGACTTCTTACATTGAATATGAGTGCTGCTGGTTGTGTGTGCCATAAAATGGGGTTAGATGTGCTTTTATTAAGTTGTGTTCACTTTAAAATATAAAATCACGTTTCATATGTGGCGTGGTGATTTCAGTCATGGGCATGAGGGAAAGTTACGGCCGTTGTGCTGTGTATAAGGGGATAACCTGTACCTCATCTCAGACAAAATCATTCTTTGTACTGGTTGTATAGAACATCATGCGAGACTCCTGCCACACATCCATGTCATCTGTTATGGTGATCCCAGAGATGTAATGTCAAGAAAAGCTCTAGCACATATCAGCCCACCCTCAGTACATTGGTGATAACATCTTTTAAAAAGTTTGCTGGTCAAATTTTTTTAAACTAAATACCAACTCAGGTTTACATGGTCGTCTATACATTAGTGTCCCACCATATGTCAGCCGAGGTTCAGATGTCTTTCATTTAAAGATTCTACCTGACGACACAAAAGGTTTAAATGCCTGCAATCACTGACCACACTTATGCAGTGTCATGACCAAAGGGGAAAGCCATCCACGATGCACGCTTTCCACAGGTGCCAAGGCTATGAGCGCCTGGGGATCCCTTAAGGGTGCAGCCTGTAACGAGTAGTAGGATTGATGTGTAGATGTGAAGTTTAACAGTCAAGTACAGGATGTGGCGATTCTTTGGGTGAGCCCATTACCAAAACACCATGTATCGGATCTGTATTTAGGGAAGCCTTCCAGGACGATGGGGACTTCCCATGGTCTGCCCCCAACCTTCCCTCAGCAGATTTTCTAGGAGCAACGCCTGCTGAAAAGGGGACAACAAAGACACCACACAATTAAGGCTGAAAAATGTCAAGTAAAACTAACATGCAGGGCTGATATGGAAAAAAAATGCTCATCGAAGTTAAATGAGTCGGCGGATGCAAGGGCACAACACTGATTTTAGATAAACAAGATCCAGACAGAGCCGAGTTTAGAGCCGACATTACAGCACTTGAACATTCCCATAAAGAAAAGGCAAGACAGAAAGATACAAAAAAACACCAAGAGACACATCACTTACATCTACTGGGTCTCGTGGAGCCAGGGGTGGCTCTGGGAGTAGAGCTACTGGTACTGCTAGGGGTTTCCAGTTTGGACCCCAGCCTGTCTTTCAGCGATGGAGTATCTTTCTTAGCAAAATCTGACAGCACACCTTCAGTTGTTGTGGACACTTCTGGCCTCTGAATTTCTGAAATGTAAAAACAACTCTGAAATTCTGAAATAAAAATGTGTGACATTATAAAAACATTTCTGAATATTTAAAAAAATATGGCTCTTGTGTTTAAGGCAGCAGTGTTAAACAATTATCTCCCCCCCCCCCCCCCCCCCCCCCCCCCCCCCCCCCCCCCCCCCCCCCCCCCCCCCCCCCCCCCCCCCCCCCCAATAACTGAATGGATGGAACAAGTAAATAAAGAAGATTTGTTTAAACCATAGTAAAGCATCAGACATTTTCTCCCTCTATATTTGTATTGATCAAGTGGCACTTGATGTTTGTATGGTCTTTGGTTCACAGGTATCTTTACTTCCAGGTGCTTCTTTTAGTATAAACTAACCTGGCAACACTGGTGAACTCTTTAAAAAATCCACTAGGTATTTGGCGTTAGCTGTAAGTTGCAAGACAACTGACGCTGTCTGTCTGTATTGTTCGTCAGTAAATAATCTAGACAAAAATCTGTTAACACATTAGAAGGCACTCTATTATTGAATTGACAATGTGAGAAACAGCATATTGTGTTAACTTCTGGATGGTGGGCATACTTGTACAGAAACTGGGGTCTAGAGTGCATCATTCTTTTGATGGAAGATGCCTTAGCTCTGGAAATGACCTAGCCGCATAGTACATTGATCCTAACCATGCCCATGTACGTTCCTGAGCCAATTTGTGTGTGTGTGTGTGTGTGTGTGTGTGTGTGGGGGGGGGGGGATTCTCCCAATCCGCCCTTCCCCAAACGTCATCGGGGAACTAACAGTCTGCATGCAAATAATCTACACCCATAAAATATGTAAAACTCAAGTTCTGGAACAATACTAAAGTCCAGAACTGGATGAACAACCATAAATTTCTGCTGGAGTTAACAGCCAATGGCAGATGAAGATCCTAATCACAACCTGCATGATTGTCACCCAAACGGTCTATAATATATGCCTGGCACCATATACACAGTATGTCAATATAACTTGGTCTTTCATTTTTCAGTAACTAATCTATGCTAATTTAATCACTTACGTGAGGCTTTTCTCTCCTCTTCAGCATTTGAATTTTTAATGGTCTTTTTAATCTTGATAGGTGTTCTATTTTGTGGTGTAGTAATGGACAGTTTTATATTAGCTTTCTTGGCTGCTGGCGGGCCGGGGTTCTTCAACACTCCAGCATAGGGTAAACTTTCTGATTTTCCCACTTCGGCATCAGCTTCGTCAAAGGATGTTGAAGATGCTGCCCTCTTTAAGGCAGATCGCCCGCCCAAACGGCTGAAGACTGATGACGGCTGGGGGGAAAAAACATTTTGCAAATGAGAAATCAGGAAATAATAGTTAAAAACCTCCGTGTGGGTTACGGGGCCCTATTGTGGGGAAAACAAGAATAGACCCACTGGCTCCCCAAAAGAATGTTGTAAGAGTCGACTAACTGGGGAGCTTCCTTTGAAGTCGGAGTGCATCTGCCTGAGAGGCAAGGAACCAGCAGTCTGCATTCAACTGAATCAGATCTGTAAAACTGATGCCCCCGCAACACTCAGGTTCTGGAGCAGGACTGCAGTCCAGAAGTAGACGAACAACCAGAACTTTACGCCAGAGTGTACAGCTGGTGAACGTGAAAAAAAAAAGAAGAATACAGTTAAAGCATATTGAGATCCCGTGAACAATGAGGAGGCAGGAACAGACCACTAAGGTCTAAAGAGAAAGGTACAGCTGGGAGTGACCAGAGGATCTAGTCGACACTCTACACTCAGAGGAAAGGCAAGATCAACACATAAAGAAACTGCTACTGCCACCAACAGAATCGGAACTCTTTGCTGGCTGCTGAAGATGAGGTCAGAGCAATTATGGGAATATTTAGAGTGCTGTGATGTAGCTCAACATTTAATACTCAAATACACAACTTTACTATTGTTAGATCTGGGTAGATAGCCAGAATTTATGGACAGACAGTATCAACAGTAAACAAACACAGAAATGTTACAACTGAGGCTACACATCTGGCTTCTGAATTCCAGCTTCGGTTATCTTCACCAGGTTAAACAGCAAGTGAGGACTGGGGAAATCACCCAAGGGAAGTCAAGATTCCCATCTATTCATGGGTTGGATTTTGCAACCAAAATTTTATATGGGATGTTGCTAGCTCGGGCCAACTCATCAGAGCTGCCCTCAAAGACATAAATGGTAAGTTAGTCTGACCAATCTTTACCTTCCTTTTGAGCCGCAGCCATATATTCGTGACATACTATTTTAATGGCTCTGTCTCTAGCATGTCCTGTTTGAAACTGAAGAGTAAAATGAAACTGGTAATTTTCTGGTGAGACTGAATATCTGCACTGCTTTCATCTGAGGTTTATCAATAACAATAGTTGAGGCAGTCTTCCTTTTCATCCTTTAGCCAGACAATTTTTTAGATGTTGCCGTCAAATGACTGACTGTATCTATAATGAATATGTACATTATTATTTTTTTTTAAGTATCCAGAAACCATGAGTTGTTAATCCTTAGGCTCGGCACTATGGATATCGCAACCCGTCGGCCTTGATTCCATGATAATTACCGTAAATCTGGAAGAAATGTGGCTTTTGTGCACACCCCCGGGCGTGAACCCGGACCACAAGGAGTTCGTCACTTGGTCAACGCACAATCTGGTTTAGCCAACTACGCTAGCGAGCCGGGCATATGTACATTAAATGGTTCTTATTTTCCCAGTAAAATTTGCTAAACGGTTCAGGGCTCATATCCGTATGTTGTCATAGTTCAAAGTGTGTGGTTAAAAACTACCATAGGTTTCAAAACCCAGGTAAACATCAGCACTCAGCAAAAGAAATCAAACATACCGGAGACCCGTGGGTCGAGTCGGATGATACAATGACTGTCTCCTCCACTCCATCAGTTCCCAGTCTGTCAAACACAGAGACTTTCCTTTTCGACCTGGGTGGATCTAGATTTTCACAAAGACTAAATTACTGTGGGTACTTAAGAATATGAGAAACATCACATCGTTAGTTAACCTTTTTTTAAACCAAGGTCACCTTGCGGGTACCACCCTTTCTCTAAGTTCCAGTGGAGAAGAAGCAGTTGTTTTCCCAATATCTCCCCAAGGATGATGTCACAGGACAGCCCAATATTTTTTAGAGTGTTAAGCGGGTTTCCCGTCTTTCTGATGCTTTCAACTACCCCAAAAATCTAGAACTTGGCCTAACATCAACCCACCTACGTCCCATGAGAGAGTGCAGCCTAGGACACACAACTGCATGCAGCCTATCTACCATCCCCTAAAATATTCGACTGTCTGTCTGGGGGAGCGATACTGGGATAGAATAGAAAAAGCGCAAAATGGATACATGCTTATACAAGTTTCTTTGACTCAGTGATGATTCGAATTATACTTCAATTAACTGAAGTGATACATCTATGCCTCCCCTCTGATAAGGTAAATTTCAATATACAGACATTATAATATCCCCTATAATAAGAGGCTGCAGGAGCCATTGTGTGTAGCAACTAGACGCCAGCCTGAGGTCTCAAGGTTGTGGGTTCAAATCTGCAAGTGGCCGGATTGCTTCATACATGACCTTGGCTCCCAGGTCAACCAAACCTTAAATGGGTAGCAGATAAAGTCTTAGAAAGTAAAGGAGACTGGCATGACATTGAACACGTCAGACACTGAGGGCAGATTGGTCTACAAAAACATGAGCCTAACCTCACATGTCTGATATACCACTGACGAAAAGATGCTGTACCCTAAAACCACTTAAGACAAATTGTTCCCATCTTTTGTTTGCTGTCTAATTCACACCGACAAACATGTTCTTGTGATCAACTTGACTATCTGTTTTTGTTTTTGGAGTTTTCTTTTAGTTCCAAACAACTCTGAATGGCAGTGTTGACTCAATGAGCCGGGATTCCCTTTTTAATGGGCTGCACAAGAAGCAGTGTATGCATACAGCCACAATGGTGAACTACTTTACAAAACATGTAAAAAAAGCATGTTAAGTCTGTTATGTCCTGTCCTGAATCATAGAATAATGACCTGCCCATGCTGGTCAAGTAGGTGGTAGTCATCTTTGGCCAGGTTCTGTACACTTCTGATAGACTGGATGCCCCTGTTCTACCTAGACCAATGTTATTTTGTTTTTAAATGCCAAACATTAAGTGCCACAATGATGGTCCACCAGTGACTGACACAGTAAAAAAAAAAACTGACCTGCAGGAGGAGGCTTGGGGATGGGTGACTGGCTCATGGGACCTGCCTCAGGATGTTTGCTGGTGATTTGGTTGACCATGCGACTTGCAGCTGGGGGGAAAACAAAGATATACTGTATTGCTAACTCTTCACTTTAACTCTTTCTGTCCCAACCAATGCACAGCCTGCTATCAGCTATAATCAGTGTGTATTAAACAAGGAATGGTGTGTAATTATATATTTTACATATGGTTTAAGCATGCTAAATAAATCTGGCTAGATTTGCTAACACAGTACTGTATATGTTGTCTCTGTGGAAGTAATATAGTAATGCACTTTTCGTTTGTATTTAAAACAAAATCTTCCAGTACTGATAGTTAAAAAAATACAACACTGCAATTAGTTAAACATCTTAAACCCTTCAGAGTTTCAACAAGAAAATATGTCTTAGACTTTCCCACAGAAATTGCAACCTACTTTTAGTATACGCAAAACAGAAATGTCTTCTTCTTTGTTCATTCAAGAGGGGTAGATCCATTGTGCCTGTTTACTATTTGTGCCTTTTGGCCGACTTCTCCAGGCATTTCTCAACAAGGTTAGCCTTCCTGGTTAGTTTCGTAGGACACATATAGCCTCAAAGACATGATGACTTTTTTTCACACACCCCCCCCCCCCCACCAATTTAGAGGGACTATCCCTAGGGCAGCTAGGTGCAAATTGGTTGGCCTTCAAGGCAAGGCCACCGAAAGTACATTCTCAGCCACCCAAGCAGGCTTACATAAATGCTGAACCGATACAAAGCACTTCAGTACTGGGCTCAAGGAACTGTCACATCCAGCACATGCCAGCTTAACCTCACACCCAAATATTGATGCTTCCACTCATTACCGGCTGCTCTCCTTTAGGGTTTCACAGGAAGCAGTCTGGGTTAGCTTTCTTGGTGGTTGAAATAAATTATGAATAGCTCCTTACCTTACTATTAGCTCTTTCACCAAAATGCATCCACTTCAAAAAAGGAAAGCACACGTAAGCCAAAAAGTCAGAAGCTGACAAATAAAACCCAAACGACACAGTTCAAAACAACAAATTCTACTCTCTAGGTGAGAAGGTGTGCCAAACAAAAAAGAGAAGCACAAGCAGTTTAGAAACTGCTACCACAATCTTACCTGTTGATCTGCGTGGTGTGTTTATTGGCAGAAATGAATTTGATGATGACAGCGATGAGGACAGTGATGTTAATGATGTTGATCTCAGCACCTTATCTTTGGCTTCCTGCAATATGGACAAATCAATAACAACAAAAATTAGACACTTCTGAAAGTGAGATTTAAAAAAAAAAGCAATTCTATGTTTATGTATAGGGTCATCTGACAAATAAAATCAATGCTGCATGGTGTTTGCTAGATATTAAATGCACTGTAACAAGTATTAATTTTTTCGGTTAGAAAACATTACATGACTACACAAAAGAACAAGAATATACAGTAGCTGAACTCATAACAGCCAAACCACTAATCTTTATCTGCAGCATTCCCAGACCCTCAGGTACATTGCTGCAGATATCACCTGCCTCCATTCAACTTTCCAGTTTGTAAGTCCTAAGGTCTACCCCCATGTAACTCTAGTGTACAGCTTTTTTGTCTTTCTCTTATTGGTTAACAACTGGTAAGAACTGCATATAATGAAACGCAGCTGAACAAATAACCACCGGAGATACTGGGAAGTATACAAAAACATGTAAGTTAAAAAACTCAAAGGAAAAATTAAACACAACCCCTCAGTGATAACTCCTGCACTTTTTAACTGAATCATGTCTATACCTCTACTCATATGTTCTTTCTTCTTTGCGTTCACCAGCTGTACACTCTGGCGTAAAGTTCTGGTTTTTCGTCCACTTCTGGACTGCAGTCCTGCTCCAGAACATGAGTGTTGCATGTGCATCAGTTTCACAGATCTGATTCTATTGAATGCAGACTGCTGGTTCCTTGCCTCTCAGGCAGATGCACTCCGACTTCAAAGGAAGCTCCCCAGTTAGTCGACTCTTAAGACATGCTTTTGGGGAGGCAGTTGGTCTATTCTTGTTTTCCCCACAATAGGGCCCCGGAACCCACATGGAGGCCTCTACTCATATGTAACAGTATATCACCATCTGCATCTGTCATTTTGACAACAAATTAGTAAGACTAGGTGGACATGTTTTCTAAGTTGCCTGTGTGTTAGACAGTGATTACTATACACAAAAAAAAAAAACTTTGTTCTGTAGTAATGTGACAAGAACAACATCATAATGACTGGAAAGATTAGAAGTAGAAATGAGTGAGAGAGACAAAGAAAGAGAGAAATGACATCAGACCCTCTAAGATAATAGTATGGAGGTATATCATAAGTAGAACACCAAAGATAAATCTGCGGAGATATAAAAGCTAAACCATCAAGCAGAAAACATGATGAATAAAGCTTTTTTGACAAGCTGCACATTGCCTGTCTGTACTGTTAATGTACGATAAAATGTCTGACCTGTTACTTAAAAAAAAAACAGGGGGTGGGCAGTCGTAGTGTAGCGGCTAGATGCTTGCCTCAGACCTGAAGGCTGTAGGTTTGTTAAAATCTGCATTGAGCTGGATTTCTTCAAAAATAACACTGGCACCCAGGTCACCTCAACCTAAAATTGGTTCTAGGTAAAGTCCTGGGAGGCAGCCAGCATGATGCTGACCACATTGCTCACAGAGTGCCGATTGGTCTACAAAATACAGATCTAGCAGTAGATGCTAATTATGGCTCTTTACCTTTACTCACAAACTAATTCTGCAACAAAAACACAAAAATTACCTGATTAAAAACATGTTTAGCATGTTTGAGGATAGCAATGATGTCACCAAGTCGGGAAATGCCCATGTCTGTAAGGTACTCCTTGCTGAGGTCCAGCAGCATCTCCTTGGTTATACGGTTATCAGAAAACATGATGGCATAATGGGCAGAGTCCCCTGCAGGAATCCCTGCTGTAGTAAAGAAGTTGATCCAGTAGGAAGTTTCTGAAATATGAACAGGCAAAGAAACAATGTAGACATTTTCTTCTTCTTCTTCTTTCGTTCGCATGAAATAAATTGTCTATATCTGCAAAGCTGTCTCTAGTATAAATTTCACTGTCTTTTGTAATTCACTAAGCGGCCCGTAAAGTTTGACTTCCACAAGTGTCTCTTTTGGCCAAAGGTTTTGCCTGAAAGCGTTGAATCTGGGACAGTCTTGAAGGATGTGATCTGTTGTTTCAGGTGCCAGTCCACAAGTACACATGGCTGATTGGCCAATCTTAAATTTGTTGTACATGTGGGAGCGAAGTCGATTGTGCCCTGTTCTAAGGCGAAGGATAATGACTTGCTCTGGTCTGTCCATAATATGGTAATCATCTTGTGCCAGTTTCGGTGGCATTCTGATTGATTTGATCATTCTCTTCTTCTGTTGATAAGAGACTGGTATGTCAGGTTGTTCTTCAGTTAATGTAGACATGATTTAAGAGACTTCCAAGAGACACTAGCATTAATTATGTCTGCCAATGTATCTAGACAAGTGTTCTGCACTTTTCAAGAATGATGTATTTACATGTGTATAGGTCATGTGCGTGCATAGGCAGAATTCCGTTTCCAAGATGACAATTTTAGGGAAAACTATTTTTCTTAGGATTTCTTTAGGAGACCAAAACCAAAATAGTACTACTGCCAGTAAACAGAGAAAGTTGGGTCATGTAACAGCAAGTTACAGTTGTCAATTTAGGTGCAAGTAGTGTGTTATGTTATGTGCAAGAAAATTGAAACTGAACAGCTGTGATGTGGATAAGAAAACATTTGTGAAGATGGATTGAAATGAAAGATGGTCTTGAAAAAAACTTTCAATCTGCTGGAATGTCAAGAAAATATAGGCAGATGTGTTTAGGTGTCAAAAGAAATGAAACTGTTTGAAGTGTGTCAATTATCAGACAGGAGAATTCCTCAGAGTGAATTAAAGCTAGTCATGGCTGGGAAAGGTTCTTTATAATACGAAATGACCTCGTTATTCAGAGGCAGAAAACAATGGCATCAATTACCATACTGTTTTTATAAGGTTCATTTCAAAATGGTGTATTTTCATTAACTATATCTGCACAAGTGACATGTATACCTAATACCTAGTAGGAAAGCTGCACTGTATTTTTCCTCAATGATTTTTGGTTAAAATATTGCGGCTTATAAACAAGTAAATACAGTACATCTGTAGTCAAGATTACATTCATAGGTGTTTATTCGTCTGTGTGATACCTTGAAATGAAACAGGAGCTCTAACTCTAATAAGAAGAAGCTTTATGTTTAACACTGTCTGTCATCATCATCAGGTGCCTTAACGACTAGCGTGGGTGACACACATCTCCATAATCTGTGATCTCCTGCAGCATGTATCAGTTCATGTGTCGACACACCTCCATGTCATGCAACAAGACTGTCAAGCATCTTCCTCTATCCCTCCTTCCACAGATTTGTGGCAGTGGTCACATGTTCTATTTTTCCTCTTCTCATAACATGGCCGAAAAATGATGACTGTCTCCTTCTGATGTCTGTGATAAGCTGTCTTCGGGCTCCTGCCTCTTTCAAAACCTTGGTTGCTCTTTTTGGCTGTCCAAGGTATCTAAGCATTCTTCTGTTAAAACCAAATCTCTGAGGCCTCAAGAAATTGTTTGGCCTGCCTACCGATTGTCCAGGATTCAGTGATTCACAACCATACGTATTATTATTAATATCTGACTTTGTTTTCATGTTCTCAAACAACTGGGAACCAATAATAATAATATTAATATCCCATAAGTAAGAAGACAGCTGGAACTAGAACTATGCAGACCTATCAGTTCAGTCATGCTGGAGACGTAGACACAGGCAGATGGTGATTAGTTAGTCAAGTTGACCAGTGGGACAATTGTGTTTATCTTATAGCTATCCTAACTAAATTTGTGCTATCTGAAATTTTCAAAGGAACATTTATTCACAAACTTATAAACACCTGGCCAAGCCGAAGCTCCATTCGAATTTATATAATAAATCAACTGTCAACACTAAGGCAGAACCACTGTCATTTATATTATATAACAATAGCTTATTTTGAAACTGAAGACTGATTTTCATGATTTATTCAGTCGCTTTTTTTCTCAGCGAAACTGACTCAGTGACTGGAACTGACCCTAGCACACACAGACGAGACAATGATATTTTTCAACATAAGGAAATCCAAACGTAAAGAGTAAAGTTAAAGAGAAGAAATGTGTGCAGTACGTACTGAAAACAATCTGTACATTAAAAGCAAACCACACTAAATAAAATTACTAAATGTAAAATGATACCGAGAAAGCAAACAAATACCTGATATCGACGCCATGTCCCAGTGTTTCGCGTGTGTGTTGTCTGAAGTAGTCCGACCGGAGTTGGAGAATGTCGACGTTTGTGCTCAACCGGAAGTCGGAATTGCAAGCGAGCACACAACATTGGGCGGCCAAACAGCACTTCCTGTTGAGCTAAAAGCTAAAACTGGCTGAGAAACTGGCTACAAATTGTTCAAAGCATTGTCCAGTGTTGCCACTTTGGATCTTTTACATGCAAATTTTGATCTTTTTCATTGCATTTAGATGGTTTTTTTGAGGTTTAGATCGTAAATATTTTTCTAGAATCTTTTCATATGGAGTTAAGTATTTTATAGATTTTTTTTCTTTCAGTGTCAATTTAATAATTACTGTGTAAAATTTTTACTACAATATTTTTGTTTTGGTCTGGCACGTACCTTGTGACAACTGCCATTACTTAAACTTTGAACTCTCACTGGGGTCAATGCACAAATACCTGGCAGCCCCGGTACTGATTAATAAAAACGCGCGTAAATGATACTAACTTTATCCATTTGCGTCCTTTTTAGGACGAACTTTTTTGTTATTTAAAGTCCCGCCCTGGCTTTTGCCAGGGGCCAAAATTTAGGCAGGCCATAAATGGGGCCAATTGTCTGAACGCGGTTTCTGGGACCTCTCCACGCGATCCTCATCCACATGGTGACACTTTGTGTCATCAGGTGTTTATCGCTTGTGTGATGTCCTAGTGGGGTAGAAAGTCAGTCAGTCATACTAACTTTGTTTCAACCGTATCCTCACTGTGCTGACTTTGTGTTTTTTTTGTTCATGTGATTAAAAAAAAAATAATTGCTCACCTTCATATGTGGCTTTCACTTTGAAAAAAGCTTTCAACATGCCAAAAGTAAAGTATGAGCAAACAAATTTTTGAAAAAGTGGTTGCATAATGACAAAATTAAAAGCTGGGTGATGGCAGTTCTGGGGATATGACTAAAGCTCGTTGTAAGTACTGCAAGTGTGAAATTAAAGCGAAAAAAGAAAACTCAAAAAAGAGTCATGCAGAGACTAAAAAAATCATAAAACTGCAGTTCCATTTGAAGATATTACACCGCTGACATCTGTTTTCAGAACTATACTGATAAATGAATCATCAAAAGTTGAAGTATCAGTCGCAATGTTTTTAATTTGTCACTATGCAATTTCAAACTGTGACCATTTGATCGATTTAAAAAAAAAATCTTGGACTAGTTCAATTTGAAAAGTGTGATGTAGAAAGTATAGTTTAGGAACTGAAGGACCTTTTAATCAGCAAACAGTTAGGCTTGAAGAATTTGGCTGCAATTGGTACTGATAATGCCTCAGTGATGGTTGGTATAAACAATGGCGTTTATGCCAACTTGAAGGAAGCTATCCCATCGTTAATACTTATAAAATGTATGCGTCATTCATTGCAGCTAGCATTATCGCATGCTTCATCTAAATATTTACCAAGGAATTTGAAATACCTTATTGCTGAAACACTTTACTGGTTTTCCAAATCATTTGTCAGACAACAGCAATACAATACATTATATACAGCCTTGAATGATGGTTCAAAAACACCGAAAATTCTGTCAGATTGCAAAACTAGATGGTTATCAATTTAACCAGCTGTTGAAAGAATTATGAAGCAATGGTTGAAGTTGAAGACACACTTTGAAACAACAAGACAAAGTGAAAAGTGCTACACAGCTGAAATACAATATGGAATGTATAGTGATGAAAAAAATTGGTCATTCATTCTCTTGTTATAACCTATTCTAATGGAATCTAAACATGTTGATAAAGTTAAATTACTTGACGATCTCACTTTTCTATTTCATTCCGTTGGTAAAAGACTGGTGTTGCCAACTTCTAAAGCTGATTTGCTCACTTGCAATATAGAGAGCTATTTGGCTCCTAAGCCACACCTTGGATATTAAATCGAATAAAAAATTGATGATTTAAAAACAAAAGAATTGTTAACAGAGAATGAAGAGAACAACTTGAGAAAACGCTGTCAAGATTTCCTTATCTCATTATTCAAGCAACTGAAGCAGAGACTTCCTGAAAATCTAGATGTTTTGAAAAATATTTTACTTTTTTCTGTGAGCAACATAGGCCTACTTCAGCCAATAAAGGACATACCTAAATATTGTAAAGTTATGCAATTTTTAGGGGCTACTGATAATAGTGTCTCGGAAGCAGAATATCAGTTAACCAAAATAAAGTTAGCTGAATGGACAAACAAAACAGAAACTAAAGCGTTTTGGAGTGAAGTGAAACAATTTAAAGATGCCACACCAAACAGTCCATTCTGTAAGCTCTTTAAAAGTGCCATGTCTGCCATGATACTACCCCACTCAAATGCTGACGTAGAAAGAGTTTTCAGTGCTAGGAATTATATCAAATCTAACCTAAAAAACAGGATGAAATTTGACCTCTTAAATGCTATCGTGCCATTAAAATTCGGCCTGATGAGACTATAGAAATAAGCCTACTGTTCCACATAAAGAAATTTAAACAGCTAAAGCATACCAAGGTCATTTTGGATCTAAAGCTTCAACTTCATTATCCAAGCTAAGTTTATCCTGTGGATCTTGTGAGGCAGACATCAGTGAAGGTGAGGACATGATTATGTAGGGTAAGTCAAAACAAAAGCTATGTAATTTTTGACTTTGTCAATTTGGATGTTTTTTTCTAGATCATTTCCACGCAGATTTAAATCTTTTTAGATATTTTTTTACACAATTTGAAATTGAACTGGCATAAGATAATGAACTGGCATATTCTGGCATATTTGGGTTTTTCCTGGCATTTCTTATCAAGATGTGCTCACATTTTCTTCATGGTTCCTTTGTTATAAACACGAAAATTTACTAAAAGCAATGTAGACCTACAGTTAAAATCTTTATTTCAGTTTGACTTTGTTGTGATGTCCTGGTACGGACTAAAGGAGATTCGCGCCATTTCTTATTGTTTTGTTGTCTTCCTAAACGGATCGTGACTGCTATAAACCTCTGTAATTTATGTTAATTTACTAGAATAAATGCGAGATATAAATCAAAAATCCATCACTGATACCAAGTAATTCAGACTGTTCAGAAACTACTTGAGGACAGAAAATAGATAGGATATAGACCTGGTTCTATCTGTGATAGATTTTATTAGTTTTAGCAATGGCCACGTCATCCAAAAAACGGAAAGCATCTTATGAAAGAAATCGCAAGTATAATAGTAATTGGAAGAAAACATACTCATGGCTCAAAAAATCTTCAGACGGATCTGAGGCAGCATATTGTAAACTCTGTCAGTGCACTGTTGCACCAAGAATTACTAGCATTTCAAATCATAAAAAATCCGAAAAACACAGGATGAAAACTCCGTCAGAAAGCTTATTACAACAATAACTCCTAGGCAAAGTAATGATAAAGTTAAAGCATCAGAGTTGCAACTTGCTGTAAGCCATTGTGCAATACGCACAAATGATCATTTAAGTGAAATCATGAGAGCGCATGGTCAGGGAAGTACATAGGAGCACATACAGTTGTATAGAACTAAATGTTTATGCTTAATAAGAAATATTATATCGCCTGCACTTAAGGATGACCTTACTGGGGATTTTCGGAACAAGAAATATGCCATCATTATAGATGAGTCTACTGACGTTTCCACTCAAAAGTACTTGTGCATTATAGTTAGTTTTTTCAGTAACAGGAAAAATGAAATATTTACTGGATTTCTTGCTTTAATTTTCTTGCAAGTGGCTACAGGAGAAAACTTATTTAATTTGATTGATAAGGAAATCAAAAGGTGTGGTCAAATTGCATTGGGTTTGCGTCAGATGGCGCTTCAAACATGGTCGGGTGCAAGAACTCTGTATGGTCCAGAATTAAAGATGTGTCTCATTTTTGTGTAAAGCTCAGATGTCTCTACCATTCACTAGCATTCTTCATGTGTAGTGCAATTGCCAAGCTACCATCAAATATTGGTTTCTTACTGTCAGAAATACCTCAGTGGTTTTGTTCATAGTGACTTAAGATCAGAAGCCTATAAAGAACTGTTTAGAGTGATGAACACATCTACGGAGTTTGAATCAGAACGAATTGCTCCTCTTCCATTTGAGAAACTGTCATCTACTAGGTAGCTTGTGCGTGGAAAGATTTTGTTCAATATGTTGGGGAACTGGGAAGAATTGAAAGCTTTTTTTTTTTCACATGTACTGAATTAGCACAGACAACGTTTAACACAAAATATAAAGTAAGATTGTTAAAGGTAATGCTGTTGGACCACAATCATTATTTGTACTTTGTGTTTGTGACACCAATTGTACAAGAATTTGAAAGACTGAACAGTCTTTTTCAACAAACAAAAGCTGATCCTCATGAACTACACCAAGAACCGTCCGTGCACCAGAAAAGTCTTAAGAACAGACTGTATGATGTCAATGAGGAGAAAAAAATATTCATCCCGCTGACTTTGGTATTCAATTCCTAATGGAATGTAATGCGTTCCTACAGAAGAATAACGGGACTGAAGCTGAGATAGAAATAAACAATGTTAAAGAAAGATGCATGTCTGTGCTAGAGGAAGCTCTCAATCAAATTACGTGTAGACTTCCCACCGAGAATATATTTCAACATCTGTCAAAATTGAGACCTTTGGCAGTTTTAAATCAAATATCAAGGACACAGTTTTCAGAGCTACCATTTTTACACCTGGCAGAAAACAACATCAGTATTATAGAAGAACAGTACAAAAAACTTATTGTTGTCAACTGGAAAGAAGAAGCTACATTTAAGAAGGATTGACTACCTACAAACAGTGAAGATTTTTGAATAGGCGTACTTCGGCACCAGGCATTTAAAGAGTTGGCCAATTTCGCCCTTACTGAGCTTAATCATTTGATTCGCTGCCTGTATATGTAGTTTAAAATTAGTTCTGTGCTGACTTTCTTTTTTTATGGCCCCATTCCTGGTTTTATCTCTTCTAGTCACTTCTGCAGCTCTTTAGACATCTGCAAATTTAATGTCAAGCAGATTTGGAACATTCTGATTATTGCCGCTGTACCCCTGACATACGCTCGCGGCACCCTGGGTGCTGCGGCACACAGGTTGAAAATCGCTGCGTTAACGTATCGTTAGCCCGGTTTGATGACGTCAGCAGCAATTTCCTGTCAGCTGGAGTCGGTCTTGTTCTAGCAGACCTATAGTTTCACCGTCTGATGGCTCCCATGTGGAATGACCCGAGACCGCCGGTAGAAGATACAATTATCTATATGCTTTTTATTAAAAAGCTACAGGAGGCCGTGGGCGACCATTTGTCCTATTTTCAACGGGATAGTCCCGACTTTTTTAGGTATTCCCCGGCGGTACTCGTAGACCTTATTAAATTTCAGTTTTAAATATTTTGAATGCCTGAAATATGTTGATACAAATGTTCATTGTATCATAATTATTTTTTTTCATTGCGGTTAAAGATCATATTGTTTCGTATATTTCTTAAAAATGATTCGGGTTTTAGTACTATTTCCCAGTGAGCAATTAACCTTGTCATCCGGGTGAGCTAGGGATTTTTTAAAAAAGGGGAGGTGGGATTAACTGAGCTTGCTCGGGATGTCCCGTTTTCAGCTATTAGTGTGATGTCCCGTGTTAACCTCAAAATATTCGGGGATGTCTCATTTTCAGGTCATCATAATTATGCTACTCCCAGTGTAAACGGTAGAAGATATTATGCCAGGTGGCACTCTTTGTTCTTGATTACTCTGTTGTTTATTTCATAAAATTATTTCCAAAATTGCTGACCCAGGCTTTTCTTAACATGGAATGGATACATATATGGGCACACTAGTCTCTGTATGAACAGTTTTGTAAATGCTCAAATGGTTGGGGCATACTCAGAGGTTAGTAGAGTCCCTACAGATTATCCTCTATGATGAATTAAAGATGGTTAGAACATAATTGGTATGTACTATGATTGAAAGATGTGGGGCATGACTGATATACAGGACGTAGACATGATGAGGCCCTAAATCATAGGTGCCAGAACCTGAAAGCTTAGGTCCCTTTAACACCCCCTATCTCCCCCAATATGAAATGTACAAATACTTTGAGAGATAAATTTACATTCATGGCTTCCCTGTGTGGGTTTCTGGCTGCCAGTGTACAGGAGAAAAAGAATAGATCCACCGCTTCCTTAACAAGCATGTCATAAGAGTCCATTAATTAGGGCTTTCCTTCAAAGTTGGAGTGCATCTGACAGAGTCGAGGAACTAGCAGTCTGCATACAAATAAGCCAGATCTGTAAAACGGAAGGGTACACAAAACTCAAGTTCTGGAAACAAGTCCGTAAGAGGAAGAACAATCAGAACTTTCCGGCAGAGTTTACAGCTGATGAAAACAAAGGAATAAAAAGGAAGATATGCATGACTAAAGGGGGCATTTAGGACCCTTTACAAAATTATTGGGCAATGGAAACCAGCCCCCCCCCCCCCCCCCCCCCCCCATTTCTCGCAATGACAAGCAAGACCAGCTGGCATTAAAAAGAATTTTCCACAAGCGCATGAGATTTCAGGATCAATGTAGCTTTCCATCCCCTGTATTTCACATCTTTTGTCTCAGATGCTGGACTCTAAACATGCTTGCAATCCGTTTCTCATATGGCCCTCTACCTTTCCTTATTCCCCCTTCCATGCAGTGTGATTCATGGTTAAGCAAAGCATACATGTCTTCTTATATTTAATCTCTTTCAGTTCTGTTCATTCTCTCCACTAGTGGTTTTCAGATGATGAGGCCCCAGGCCTACGTGAAGTCTGTGGTGTCACTCATACCTTCCATTGTTCGGTGCAGACTGGTTTTTGAATGCCAACTGGCTAAACCTGGAATCTCTCGACTGCATGTATACAGCATGTCTGTCTAGGTTATTTCCCACTTTTTCACCTCATCTCGGAGGCTCAAGATTCCATAGGGAGTTTCCCTGGACAGTCCCATCTTCTAGCACTTCTAGGGATGTCAAGATGTATTGGTTGTTTTCAGCATTTTCACCATTTATTGCATCATCATATCTAGTGTGTGTTACTTTTGTTGGTTCGCCACCACCACTGTGCCCTGTTTGGAAGCAGTGTTCTTACTTCGTGACTTCACCATGAATTTTCTTGACCCATCATCATCACTTCATCTAACCCTAACTCACCATTATACACACATGGAGATTGCCGATCGTGTACAGGGCCCTCCCATACTGCCAACCCAAAACGGCCCTTTCATGGCACCGGCTTCAGCCAAACTTCACAGGTCGCTGAGTAAATTACTCAAGACAGTAAACTTCATACTAGAGACATAACTGCAGATACAAATAATCTACTTCAGGCAAACAAAAGAAGAAGAAAATGCTAACCCTACACCCCCACTGCAATACTATAGGACTGTCCGGAGAACTCCCTAGGAATACCATGGGGTGAAAAAGTGGAAAAGAACCCATGTCTGTAGCACATGTTAAGTCTTCTTCTTCACGTTCGTTGGCTGTAAACTTCTGTGGAAAAGTTCTGGTAGTTTATCCACTTATGGATTCTAGTCCTGTTCCAGAAACTGATTGTTGCGTGTACAACCTTTTCACAGGTCTGAGTTATTTGCATGCAGACTGTTGGTTCCTTGCCTCTCAGGCAGATGTACTCCGACTGCAAAGGAAGCCCCCTATTAGTCAACTCTTATGACATGCTTTTGGGCAGGCAGTGGGTCTATTCTCGTTTTCCCCACAACTGGGCTCAGGAACCCACACGGGGAACTTGTCAAGTAATCTGTGGTGCCTATCCATATGGGCAAAGTTCTGAATCCCCTATCTTGAATTGAATGTACTTATTGCTGCATAGTCTGCTGTGTCTAGTATGCAATCTAAATATAATGAATTATCTGTTTCTTTTGAGTGTGTAGACTGACCGGGTCTTCAGGACTGTGTCCAGGATGGGTGTCCAAGTATCTAATTTGCTTTCACACACTGTATGTTGTCATTTTTATTTCATTAAAAATATATAAGACAAATCACCCCCCCCCCCCCCCCCCCCCCCTGAGGAATTAACAAATATAAAAAAATAATATACAACACATGGATGTTATATAAGCATACATAAACATTTATTTCAACATGATATCATCTCATTGTTTGTGTCCATTTAGTAGCCCAGCTTGTCATTGAGACTCGTCCGACCATCTCCAGATTGTTCTGAAATAAATGAAAGTGAACACATTTGATTTTACTCAACTGCTAAAAAAAAAATTTAAAAAACAGCAACCAGCCATTACTTCCTGTATTCACCATGGAGGTACTTGAGCCGGAGAATTTAGTGCTGCAAGGTTAGTGCTGTCGCCTTGGATGTAGGTAAAGATTTTATTTTAGCACTCCTCTTGGTTTTACTAAAAACACTGCCACAAATTACCTGTAAAAGCTAATATATATATATATTTTTAACTCAACAATAATTGCCATTAATATGAATGCAAATCACCTGTAAGAATTTCACAATTAAGGAAGTATGGGCATGCTGAAATTGTTTTCAAGTAGGTTTGTAATTATCATGTTTTCAAGTAGGCGTATAATTATCATTATGTTTTTAAGTAGTCGTGTAATTAACATTACCATAATGTAAGAAGTAAGTAAAGAAGCTTTTTCCTCAATTTGCCCTTATGAAGTCAAGTGGCAGAGTGTATTGTGGTCTTCAGCTAGGCTATGAAATCTGTCAAAGTATTTCAGTCCATAATAGCTGATTTCAACAAACCCTTAAATATTAAAGTTTTACAACATGGTACAGCAGCTAGATGCTCAATCAGGAGATCTGGGAAAAAGTCACTGACGTTGGATATGGCCCTTTTTACGAAAGTCTGTTAATAGTATAATTAAAAAGGCCCTCCTCTGAAAGTCACAGAGCAAAAGAAATAGTTGCCTAGATGACTACTTGAAAAAAGTATATTTTTGTATCGGTAAGGTAACTCCTAATTCTTGTGCAGACAGAAGCAATAACACTGCCTAGGGGTCTCATGATGGCTACTAGTCAAGTCAGAGAAGTGACTCTTTCCGGGAACTTGACCCAGCCGGGTGTCAGGTCTGGTGCTCCTGGGGTAAAAGGGTTAAAGCAGATTGCTGTCTCAGAACATACCTTCTGGGGGAAGCCACATTGCATAGTCAGGATCTGCGGGTTCAAATTTAGAATCTGTAACAGGCTTTCCTTTCTGGGCACTCTGCTTTTTTTCCAGTGCGTCTGAGAAATATAAAGGCAGACACTTGTTACACTAACACAATAACTAACCAGGGAGAAGTTTAGACAAAGACTGAATAACCAGATTCCACATGGCAGAAGACAAACACTTATGAAGATGTGCATGAGCAATGAAAGGCATTCTTTACAAACCACACCCAACATCCATGTGGCCTCTGCTGTCCCAGTTCCTCAAAGCATCATATTTACTTCAATGCTTACCTTCACATTCTGATAGTCTCAGGATTGTTTTGAGAGTGAGCAGGTCAGTCAAAATGACAACTGTTGGACAATGTGTCTTGAGTCCTGCATTTTTTCTGTTGCAATATAAGGTAAATTTATTTATCTATAAACAGCCCCAGTTTCAAAGCAAGAGAAATGGCTCCCTTCTTCAAAAATTCGGCTGAGAAATCAGTCATAAAATTTAAATAGCAACCAATTACCCTATTTTTCTGGGTATACAATAACCCCATGTCTAAGATGACCCATATTTTTCAGTCCAACATTGAGAAATATCTTAAACACATTCCGGTATAAGAATACTACTAATTTTAGACTTAAAAATCTGGGAAAACATACTGTCTTATACACAGAAAAATATGGTATATTAAACAGTGATTAATGTTTCTTACACAACAGAATCTATGCTATGCTATGCAGCAAAAATTGTGGAACTGCAAGAGTTGAGGAGAAAATTCAACTACCGAAAAAAAAAAAAAAAATTAATAACTGAAACCAACTGATCCCTAATAAGCACGTCTAAGGAGCGACTAATTAGGGGTATTTCCTTCCACGTCAGAGTGCATCTGTCTGAGAGGCAAGGAACCAAACTGTCTGCCCACAAATAAGCCAGATCTGTAAAATAAATGTGCATGCAAAACTCAAATTCCAGAACAAGACTTCGAGAACAAGTTCAGAAGTGGTTGAGCATGACCCTGACTATAGTAACTAGGCTCGATGACCCTGACTATAGTAACTAGGCTCGATGACCCTGACTATAGTAACTAGGCTCGATGACCCTGACTATAGTAACTAGGCTCGATGACCCTGACTATAGTAACTAGGCTCGATGACCCTGACTATAGTAACTAGGCTCGATGATCCTGACTATAGTAACTAGGCTCGATGACCCTGACTATAGTCACTAGGCTCGATGACCCTGACTATAGTAACTAGGCTCGATGACCCTGACTATAGTAACTAGGCTCGATGACCCTGACTATAGTAACTAGGCTCGATGACCCTGACTATAGTAACTAGGCTCGATGACCCTGACTATAGTAACTAGGCTCGATGACCCTGACTATAGTAACTAGGCTCGATGACCCTGACTATAGTAACTAGGCTTGATGACCCTGACTATAGTCACTAGGCTCGTAAACTGCTAAGATAAGATGGTCTGTAAGAATTTATGAACCTGATCATTATTACTTACTTAAAACAGCGGCCGTTGAAAGATGGTGTGGAGGTTTAGAGTTTCTACCATGCCTGGTATCAGTCTCCTCTGAAGGAGGGCGGGAAGGTCCTTTAAATGTACTGGCAGACTGCGCTGTAGGTTTAAGTTTGCCTGAACTATTTAAGCTTTCATCTGTTTTAGGAGCGGGGAGATGACTCTGAGGTTTCACTGGCTTTTGCTGGTCACACTTTGCCTCTTTTGTATCGTCTTCCTCTTCCTCCTCCTCCTCTTCCTCTTCTACTTCTTCAAAACTGACTGGTTGAACTGGAACTCTTGATGGCTAAGGGAAGAGAATACACAGGTATGAATTTTCATTTCACTTAACTAAAATCATCATCCTGTCCTGTCGAGCAGCATAAGGGCTCATGTCTCTTGGTATTTAGACTTAACCCCACTGAAGATATTCCACCATCGCTTCAGGACATCTAGCATTGTCTCTCTGGCCTACCTCTGCCTCTTCCAGTCATCATGATGTTTTTCAATGTCTCTTTTCTCATCCCATGACCGAAGAACAACGTTTTTTTCATACTGTTGTCTAATTTCCTTAGCAATTTTCAGGCAGTAGTTGTTAGTCACACTGTCTGTCCATGCAAGCATCTCAGAAACCACATTAACTAGAAAATACACTCACACATATGTATATATTCATGCCCCCTAAAGGAGCTTAAATCTTTCAACAAATTGATATCAAGCCTTTGAAGACTTGCTAACTTCGGTATAAATATATACATATTCATGCCCCCCCCCCCCCCCCCCCCCCCAAGGAGCTTAAATCCTTCAACCAACTGATAGCAAGCCCTTTGAAGACTTGCTAAGTGCGGTAGTTAAAGTGTTGTAGGCGACGATGTAGCCAGTCTCATACCAACCTTCCTGTCATTTTTACAACATTCTTGGTAGACTAGTAAAAGTATTGAACCCTTTTCCATACTTTGAGGTGTATTAAGCATATAGTGCTAGATCTATCTTTTATAAATCAGTCCACACTCAATGGGGGATGTGGTCAATGTTACATTGACCACCTTTACTTCCCAGGACTTCCTCTGATACTCATCTAAGGCTGGGTCAACCTAGAAGCCAAGGTCATTTTTTGAAAAAAATTAGGATCATACAGATTTGAACCGATTACTTTTGAATCCACAGGCGAGCCTCTAGCCACTACTACACAATGGCAGCTCCCATCTGGTGGAATATAGTGTTACTATTCTTTACTTCCCTATGGGTCCTAGTAACACACATGACAATTTTCAAGAACATGATTTGACTGTACATTAATATTTTCAAATCATCTTATTTACACAAAACTACAGACATTAGATAAATCTAAACCACACTTGCCTGTCCAGAAATGTACAAAGAACAAGAAAATTCAGCCAGAGTTTACAGCCAGTGAACGCAAAGAAGAAGACTTAAACCCAAGGATTTTTTTCTTTCGGTAAGGAGCACCGACTCCCTTAAATTGCATTATATTTTTAGCGCCACAATAACAGGAGAGTACCAGCACCTTTCTATACACTGTTTTCTACAGGCAACAAAGCCATGCCTAAACCCTTTTGCCATGGAATCCCTGGAAAAAAAAGGTCCACAGCCTGAGATTACTCAGGAAAACATTTTTGTTTTATTCTTGGCCTTCTGTCCCAGGTCACTAAATAAATAATAATAAAAACAATTGCAGCAGAGAATTAATTCAATACATTCCTTTGGTTAAAATAAAATAAACATTTATACTGGTTGGCATAATGTCACACTACAAAACAATAGCTGAAGGCTAGTTGTGATTTCATAAAAGTCTAAAAGAGGGTATTTTGTTCACACAACAAGAAACCTCAAGTGCAACACACACAGCCCTTCAAAATACTGCACGGTCGCAAACAGTACCAAAGCCACTATCTAGGCATAATGAGGACTGGTTTATGCTGTAAAGCCGAAATATCGACCTCATAAGGATTTGTAATGGATGGCAAAGTAGAAATATCTTCCTTCATAAGGAAACGGAAATTTTTAATATACTAATTTAACTGCTAAATACTAATAAAGTGACTTACTATCTTGACTAATGTTGGCTTTTTCTGTTGCTTTTGCTGAGCATGAAGTTTCCTTGACAAGGAATCTGCGGTCGGGGTTGGGTTGGGGGAAGTTTGTGATATGCTGATGACAGAGGAAGACAGAGTTAAATAACATAATAACCTAAGTGTGACTATAAATATACATGTGGTCCCAAAGACAACAATGTTCTCTCAACACTACATCGTTACCTACATGGGACTGTAAGTTACACCAAGTGGTCCCAAAGACAACAATGTTCTCTCAACACTACATCCTTACCTACATAGGACTGTAAGTTACACCAAGTTGTCCCAAGGCAGACAATGTTCTCTCAACACTACATCCTTACCTACATGGGACTGTAAGTTACACTAAGGTCCCAAGGCAGACAATGTTCTCTCAACACTACATCCTTACCTACATAGGACTGTAAGTTACAGCATGTGGTCCCAAGGCAGACAATGTTCTCTCAACATTACATCCTTACCTACATTGGACTGTAAGTTACACCAAGTGGTCCCAAGGCAGACAATGTTTCTTTCAACACTACCTCCTTACTTGCATAGGACTGCAAGTTACAGCATGTGGTTCCACAGCAGACAATGTTCTCTCAACACTACATACATCCTTACCTACATAGGACTGTAAGTTACACCAAGTGGTCCCAAGGCAGACAATGTTCTCTCAACACTACATCCTTACCTACATTGGACTGTAAGTTACACCAAGTGGTCCCAAGGCAGACAATGTTTCTCTCAACACTACATCCTTACCTACATAGGACTGTAAGTTACACCAAGTGGTCCCAAGGCAGACAATGTTCTCTCAACACAACATCCTTACCTACATAGGACTGTAAGTTACACGAAGTGGTCCCAAGGATGAGAATGTTCTCTCAACACTACATCCTTACCTACATAGGACTGTAAATTACACCAAGTGGTCCCAAGGCAGACAATGTTCTCTCAACATTACATCCTTACCTACATAGGACTGTAAGTAATACCAAGTGGTCCCAAGGATGAGAATGTTCTCTCAACATTACATCCTTACCTACATGGGACTGTAAGTTACACCAAGTGGTCCCAAGGATGAGAATGTTCTCTCAACACTACATCCTTACCTACATGGGACTGTAAGTTACACCAAGTGGTCCCAAGGCAGACAATGTTCTCTCAACATTACATCCTTACCTACATGGGACTGTAAGTTACACCAAGTGGTCCCAAGGCAGACAATGTTCTCTCAACATTACATCCTTACCTGCATAGGACTGCACGTTACACCACGCTGCGGTCACTATTATTGGTGCCATAATTATAAGACTTTGTAGGTTGAACAAGGCATATGGGACTACTGAAGTCTCAAGGATGATCAAAACCTTCAGACAGCAGCCCGAAGGCAAGAAACAGACATGACAGATAGGATGATTGTCTTAGAAAAATGAGATTGCACTTTGAATTTATAAAAATGAATGCGGGATGTGAATTGGTGAAAGAAGGATCACAAATCTTTCAGGCAAGTTGTGACGAGAGCAATGCTTTATAAAGAATATGCTGCACATTATAATAATGAAAATACATGTCTTTTTATTCAAACAATACTGCATCCTCATACATAAAAGTTAACCGCATATCCTTTACAGCAGCGGTTCTCAAAATGGGTTCCGCGACACCAGGGGTGCTGTGAGCGTATGCCAGGGGTGCCATGGCAATAATCAAGAAAAAGAATCTGCCTGAGATCAGTAAAGAGAGCAGTTTAAAATAGAAATACAATGAAGGAAGCCAAGAAGAGTTCTAATTGCAGGTGTAGTCAGAAAACAATGCTAATGGCAACACCGCAGTGCATTCTCAATGGACACTTACATAAAAAAACAGATACAGAAGCAACCTTCAAGTGATTTGAGGCCACAATTAACTCAACTTACCATAATCATAAAGGAAATAATGAAAAATTCATCCAAACAGTTTTATTCATTGCATTAAAGACAAGTGAACATTAAATTGGCACTGATTTTTTAAATTTTTCTGAAGTATTTAAACCACTTTAAGGGTAGACACACCACACATTTTTTTTGCCTGATGGGTGCCGGGGCGAGACAAGTTTGAGAAACCCTGCCTTACAGGACATCACAAACCAATCCTTGCTGTTTTTTGGTTTTACAAGGAAATCTTATGTTCAGTATTTTTCCTTTGCTTTCTGAACAGTCAGACTCTCATGCCATTGTCAAAATCAACACCAAGCTGTCTGCTGCCCAAATAATCTACAGTGAATCAAACGGGGTCTTCCCAGTGGGTGCTATTACCAGTGCACGTTCCTTGGCTTCATTTCAGTAAGAATAGAATAGACTCCCTGCCCTCGCCCAAACTAGCATGTCGTAAAACATGATTAATTAGTGGCACATATGCCCGAGGCAAGAAACCAGCAAACTGCATAAAAATAAACCAGATGTGTAACAGATGCGCATGCAGAAATGGGCCAACAACCAGAACTTTCCGCTGGAGTTTACTGCCTGTGAATGCGAAGAAGAAGAACCAGGTATTTCAGAATAATAAAACTGCTTTATATCCCAGAAATGCTGACTCTTAAAGAAAATAAAACAAAACAATAATGAAATCACCTTGGTTTGAGGGGAGGTAATGATGCAGGTTTGGCTATGTTGACCAACCTCCTCAGCCTCTGCTCCTCGGCCCTCAGTCTCAGCAGCTCTCCCTTTAACTGAATCCGAGTCTTTGTGTCCATGGCTCCTGCCTTAATGGACACCATGTATGCCTCCAGTTCATCCATTTCTTCCGACGCTCTAGCATCTGCCTCTGTCAAATATAACACATAAATCTGGCTAGCGTGGTAACATTGTTAAGTGGTAAGATTAATTATATTTAACCCTGTAAGCCGTAACACCGACACATCTAGTTGGGACGAATTCCCCTATAAATGTCATTTTTTAAAAACTATCTACAGTGATCTGTTTATAAGACATATAGTTAATGTTATTGGTTGTGTTCATGCATATACAAATGTTTATGAGGTCATGTTGTAAATATATTAACTAAAAATAGCACTATAGGTGTTTCCTTCCAACCAAATGGTTTTTTAATCCATTTTCGCATTTCCTTTACAAGATGTTGCAAAACCCCAAAATTTGCTGGCTGCTGTTTTTGTTTCTAGGCACATTTTATGTTCAGTAGTAACAATATAGCAATACTACTATCTGGTTTTCTCAATGAATATCCTACTTATTTTCAGTATCTTTTCCTTACCTCTTGATTCCCATTGATCTGTACCTCTGAAGCCACAATATGAGCTCTGTTCTTCATTCGTCCTTAAAATGGGGCTAGCACACTGTGGTTTACAGCTAGGCTGTGATATTGTACCTTTCGGCATAACACATCTGACTTCAGCAAGTCATTAACTAGTCACCTTTAACAACATGCTTGTTAAGGGGGTCTGTTCTTGTTTCCCCCCAAAAAGGGGCCCCAGAATCCCCATGGGAAATGAACTCTTTCATTACCAGGAACAACTGCATGACCTAGGTAGGCAAGAGATCTGACCAAAGACTTCAAGACATAACCTAGGCAGGAGATCTGACCAAAGACTTCAAGACATAACCTAGGCAGGAGATCTGACCAAAGACTTCAAGACATAACCTAGGCAGATCTGACCAAAGACTTCAAGACATAACCTAGGCAGGAGATCTGACCAAAGACTTCAAGACACAACCTAGGCAGGAGATCTGACCAAAGACTTCAAGACATAACATAAATAAAAATTTAAATAAGCCAAAATGAAATACAGTAATACAATTAATAATGAAAGTTGCAAGAGTTTACCTTCTTTGGCCTTCTGCAGCTTGCCTTCTATTTCTTCAATCTGTTTTGCTACCGTATTGTACTTCTCAAGCTAGAAGAGAAGTGAAAAATAACTGTTGAAGGCCGTTCATAAAAAATGTAAAGAATATGTGAAATATAAAAATTAAATAATTTATAATAAAAATAATGGAAATAGACACACATTCTGTAATAACTATTATAGATAAAAGGAAACAGCGAGAATGAGAGAGAGACAGACAGAAGAATAATACAGGCTTAGATAGAGACAGAAAAAGAGCAATAGTGACATGGTTGATAAATCAACACGGAAAGTAGATACCAGAGTAAGTGGAAGTTGGTTCTTCTTAAAAATTCTGACAAATGATTCTCCTCTATTTTTTTCACATTTAAAAAAAATAATTTTTAATCATGTTTTCTTTCATTCTGTCCCCTTTTACTTATGAGTAAAATCTTTTAGCCACGCCACATTTTCAAGCCACTCCCCACCCACCCAGAAAAGTGCATGATATCTATACTGAGGAAGGGAGAAGAAGACATTGGAAACATGAAAGATAGCTAAACTCACCAGGGATTCGTAAGTTTCAGGCTCAGATTTGCCGGCATTTTTCATCCGTATAAACCTCTTCTTCTCGATGGTTCCTGTCCGGTCCAGAAATGTGTCTTCGTCACTGTCATAGAAGTCATCATCTTCCCATTTTTTCTGCTTCCGCTTCCTACTCTCTGAAACAAAAGGAAAGCATCAGCATGATAACAAATCTTACACCAGCATTTCGGACACTGCAAAAAAAACAACAACAACCCCACAACTAAATCTACGTATTCAGGAGACAGCAGATATAATGACAACTCAATCTACGTATTCAGGAGACAGCAGATAAAATCACAACTCAATCTACGCATTCAAGAAACAGCAGATAAGATCAAAACTCAATCTACGTATTCAGGACACAGAAGATAAAATCAAAACTAAATCTACGTATTCAGGACACAGAAGATTTAAACAAAACTGAGTCTACTACATATTCAGGATATAGCAAATACAACCACAAGTAAATCTACATATCTAGGACACAGCAGATACAATCATAACTAAACCTACATATTCAGGTCAGAGCTGATACAGCCACAACAAAATAATCTACACAATCAGCTGTTACAATCACAGCCAAATCTATACATTCACTAAAAAGCTGGTAAATCACAAACAAATCTAATGAAATAGTTGACCCATTCTCTACTTAAAAGCATGTTGTAAATGGCGACTAATTTTGGATTTTTCTTCTGAAGTTGGAGTGCATATATCTAAGAGGTGAGGAACCAACAGTCTTAATACAAGTGAGACCTGTAAAATGGATGTACATGCAGAATTCAAGTTCTGGAACAACAATAAAGTCAAGAAATTGATGAACTACCAAAAACTTTCCACCAGAGTTTACCACCCTTGAATGCAAAGGAGGAGGAGATGAATAGTTGAATATGCAATTTCTAATAAGTATAGGTTTGTTGGACTGGATGTGTTTGAATGAAAGATGCAGATAAAACAACATACCTGTAAACACTGCTCTAACCCGTCTCTTTGGTGTTTTTTGTTGTTTTGTTGTTGTCGTAAAGACTGTTGCTCTTATGGATGCATGAGTATGCCAAGAAGGTGACATACTACAAACCAACCAAATATTTACATGTCAAACAGTTGTTACTCTTACCATGGGATGATGCACGAAGTAAGCCCAGCCTGTCTAGAATTCGGCATGCCTCTAACGCACACGCTACGACAGCATCTTTTTTCTTCCCGGTTACCACTGCCTCAGCAACCAGTTCCTCGCCATTTGGTCCATCCACTGGTAACCTTAAAAAAAAACAAAATAAAGTGTGAATATCTGGTCCTTCCATTAAATATCTTGATAAAACAAAAGAAAATGTGAAGATTAAGTCTATTCACTGATAAGGTTGATAAAAAGATATTCTTATCAAACATGACTTCAAGGTTCCAATTTGTTAACTATTCCTCACAGACAAAACTTCAAGGTTTGTATTCCTCTAATTTGTGTCCAATTTTGCCAACTATTCCACACACACAAAACTTCAAGGTCACACATACTCTAATCTATGTTCCATTTTGTCAACTATTTCACACAGACAAAACTTCAAGGTTGCACTTACTCTAATCTATGTTCCATTTTGTCAACTATTTCACACAGACACAACTTCAAGGTTGCACTTACTCTAATCTATGTTCCATTTTGTCAACTATTTCACACAGACACAACTTTGAGGTCACACATACTCTAATCTATGTTCCATTTTGTCAACTATTTCACACAGACAAAACTTCAAGGTTGCACTTACTCTAATCTATGTTCCATTTTGTCAACTATTTCACACAGACACAACTTTGAGGTCACACATACTCTAATCTATGTTCCATTTTGTCAACTATTTCACACAGACAAAACTTTGAGGTTGCACTTACTCTAATCTATGTTCCATTTTGTCAACTATTTCACACAGACAAAACTTTGAGGTCACACATACTCTAATCTATGTTCCATTTTGTCAACTATTTCACACAGACAAAACTTTGAGGTTGCACTTACTCTAATCTATGTTCCATTTTGTCAACTATTTCACACAGACAAAACTTTGAGGTCACACATACTCTAATCTATGTTCCATTTTGTCAACTATTTCACACAGACAAAACTTTGAGGTCACACATACTCTAATCTATGTTCCATTTTGTCAACTATTTCACACAGACAAAACTTTGAGGTCACACATACTCTAATCTATGTTCCATTTTGTCAACTATTTCACACAGACAAAACTTTGAGGTCACACACTCTAATCTATGTTCCATTTTGTCAACTATTTCACACAGACAAAAACTTTGAGGTCACACATACTCTAATCTATGTTCTATTTTGTCAACTATTTCACACAGACAAAACTTTGAGGTTGCACTTACTCTAGTCTGCACTTATGTTTGCCAATGCCTCCATCTGTAAACTGGTAGTCTGGTAGATCACATCCTATGAAGGCAAAATAAAATGTCATAACCATAATTCAAAAAGAAATAATGGAATAAACAAATGCCAAACAAAGAACACATAATAAACCACACACACACACAAATAATAATGAAAGTTTCTTCTTTTTTCAAAATGAGAGGGGAAAAAACGGTGAAATAAACCAATTTTAACCTGGTCATATAATAATACTACTGCATATGAAAGCATAAAAACGATGCTGATGCGACCGCAATAATTATTCAGAAGAAAAAGTTGAGTTGAAAACAGCACCCGGGAAACTCCCAAAAGTGACTGTCATCTCCATCTCCAGCAGAGAGAGAGAAAAGTTCCAGTTCCGAGGAGAAAAAACATAAAAATAAGTCTACACATATACAACAAATTTTTACTTAAAAAATTGTGTGTACATAAGAGGAAAAATGCTGACTTGAACAAATTTCAACTGTGTCAAATATTTTAACCTTGTTAAATATCAATAAGACATAAATAATGTATATAAAATCACAATAACCATACTAATGGGAAAAACTGTCAGTGATTATTGGTGTATTTATACAAGAAGAACAAGTTAAGCTGAGTTAAAAACCAACATCACGGCACTTTGGGACATTCCCATAAGTGCCTTGCCCCCATCTTCAGCAGAGAGAAAGAGAGTTTCAATTCAAAGAAGGAAAAACCCGCATAAGAATATGTCTTTTCCTAAATAAATGTTACCTTCTCGTTCATAAAATCCCTTCAAAGCCTTTTTTGGGTCATCAATGTACAAGCTTTCATTCTCTGGAACTAAAGTAGCATATGGGTTTTCTTCCCCAACTTCTTCCGCATCTTCATCTGTAAGACAAAGGAAGCAGCAATTAAAACATCTTCAGTTGAATGTTACTTTAGAGTAAATGGCTACACAGAAATCATCTGAAAAAGTGCGCATATTCTTCTTCTTTTGTCATCTCACTGATACCAGGTAGGTGTAGCCCAGTTTCGTGGTTTTCTGTATTTGTTTTGCGCTTCTCGGGTGGCTTGAGTGATGGATGTGGTCATCTTTTTGCAGGTTTCAGTTACATCATTTATCTATCTCTTTCTTGGTCTTCCTCTCGCTTTCCTCCTAGATGTTCTACTGTAAAAAGTCTCAAATGCAGTGTGGTCTGGCAGCATTCTCACCAGATGGCCAAACCATTTCTTCTCTTTGTCTGTCAATATAATCCAGACATGGTCTTTGTCCAATTTTTCCCCTAATGCTGGTACATTACACATTAATAAGAAGAATATAAGCCATTACACACACACATGCATAATACCCCAGCTCACACCCATGTGTGGGGGCTTTAAATTAAAACCTTAAAAGTGTGACAGAAATTTCAGTAACAATGCTACTGTCTTGTAACCTGTCAATAGTGTTGTCAAGAGTGTTAAGCATGTGATATCACAGTTCAGACCAACCTCGTGACATAATGAAAGTTTACATATGGCAGCCCCACTTTTGACATGCTCCAAAAGGAGCAGCAATCTTTTTTTTTAATCCATTAGCTGATTAGTGAGGGGGTGAAACCTTTGGAAATTTATATGCATGCAAATTCGTATGACATAGGCGTAAGCCTGTTTACTGGCCTGAAGGTATTGGTTTGGATCTGTAACACAGCATGGCAGCATTTTACTAACTGACCTTGGCTTCCAAGTCGACAGATTAAAATGGATACCAGGACATGTCAAAGGATCACTCATTAAACCAAACTGGCCTATAAATCTGTCTTTTAGTACCACATGCTCGCTGCACACTTGGATGAAAAAGGCTGTTTACTTTATGAATGATATATATTGAAAACTGTATTTCACACAACAATAATGCTAAAATGAAACTGTTTTCTTACCTATTCCCCAGCCACAACCCCTGTCCTCTAATAATTTCTGCTCTGCTTCTTGCCTCTGTAATTTTTCCTGCACTTCTATCTGTCGAAGTAATTCTGTCTCCTTCTGAAGTTTCTCACGCTGCTCCTTCAGCTCTGTGACTGTCAATTCACTTTCATCTTCTATATCTTCTGCAGGTCCCTATGGGAAAATGAACATGCACTAAGCTTACAACAATTTATGAATAGAGATCTGTATTTGTGCTTTATTGATTACAGTAAAGCATCTGATAAAGTGAAACATGAAGAAATTATTAGAATTTTTGAAACCTTAAACACTGATAGTAAAGATCTGAGAATAATAAAAAACATATACTGGCAACAAGAAGCAGCCATAAGGATTGACAACCAAGTTGAGGGTTTTCAAAACATTAAACAAGATGTTAAACAGGGATGTGTACTATCCCCAGATTGATTCAATTTGTACAATGAAATAATAATTAGATCCATACATGGTATGCCAGGATTAGCGTTTGGTGGGGTATATTATTAACAATCTGCGATATGCTGACAATATATTGTTGATGGCTGATGAAACACAACTGCAAGGAATGATAGATATAATTGTATCAGAAAGTGAAAACTAGGGTCTTAGTTCAAACAGCAGAGAAACAGAAGTAATGGTAATTACAAAGAAAACTGACCCTCCAAAATGCAACACAAAAGTAAATAGGACAAACCTCAAGCAAACTGATATGTTTAAGTATTTAGGTACCTTGATACCATCAGATGGAAGATGTATTAAGGAAGTTAAATGTCGAACAGCTCAAGCAAAGGCAACATTTTGCAAAATGAAGAATATTTTATGCAATCTTTCTTTGTCAACTGAGGCAAGAAAGATAATTCTTAAAACCTATATAAATCCTTTATTGATATATAGATGTGAATCATGGGCTTTTAGTAAATTAGTAAAAACTTAGTTTGAAGCTATGGAGATGTGGTTTTATAGACGAATGATGAGAATATCCTGAAGAGATAAAAAGAGTAATGAAGACGTCTTGAAAGAAACTGACTCACAAAGAGAACTGATTGCCCACATCAGAAAGAGACAATCTACATTGTTTGGTCATGTGATGAGAAGGGGAGAGGCAGAGAGAGACTGACAGAACAGATGCTGGACGGTCTGACATCATGGCATGGATGATCAACTGTGCCAGAGTTGATTTAAAGTACACAAGACCGAAGGTTGTGGACAGACATGACTATCAATGCCACACGGCATGGACTTGAAGAAGATAACAATTTACGAAGAAAACAACGGATCTGGTCAATGTAGTTATAAAAATGTGGAAAATCAGCTAATGGGGGAAGGTGTTGGCAGCGTGTCTATTATTTTCCTTGAAAATGTGGTCGGAGACCCCACACAGGAAATCTACTGGAAGTTAAGCAGGTTGCGAACAATGGACATCAACACTTCTTAGGCATACTGATCTATATAACCACAGAAATGAGATGTCTGAGAAGGGCTGTAGGAGTGACCATAAGAGATAAGATCAGGAATGAGATCATAAGAGAACAAGTCAGCACAGAACCAATTCTGGATTACATACAAAGACAGCAAGTGAAATGGTTTGCCCACTTAGAGAGAATGTCTTGTGACACCATACCATACAAAGCATACATGGAAAGAGAAGAAGGACGTAGAGCACGGGGTAAACCAAGAACAAGATGGAAGGATAACATCAGAGAAACTCTACAACAGCACGATGTGCCTATGGTCGAGGCAGCCAGAAAAGCTAGAAACAGAACCTTATATCTCCCTCGACACCCACAGTGGTAAAAGAGGAAGTGAAGAAGAAGAAGACTGATCTATATGCCTAAAAGATTCAAATCAATCTCAGTTTCTATAACCTGACCGCTTTTCCGGTAATTTCCTAATCTGCTGCCAAACTGCTGAACCTAATTTTCGGTACTTTGCGTACTACGTGAAAAAATGCGCCACAAACTAAAAATAACCAACCAATCGTGGTCAAACCCCATTGTCAGTCATTACAAATGGCTGCCCCCACGTGTTTGGATTTATTTTGTATAGTTAAATGTGAAAAAAATTCAAAAAATTTACAATGAAATGAATGGCTGATGAAACAAAGACTTTGACAGGAAAGCAAAGTAGGTCTAGGCTTTTCACAGTCCAACACGTGATCAATACTCTGGTTGATTCAGACTCTGAGAAGTCAGAATTTCATCAAGAATATGTTATACGTTCCCAGTCAAGTGACACAGACAGTGAGAGCTCGAGTGATGAGGAGAATCTTGAACCTTATAGATCTAGAACTAGATCTATAGTAAAAGAAGGGAAGAGGCGTGTCTCTCAAAGAGCAACATCCGGTGCTCATTTTGTAAAACAAGGCTGATCCTGCTGGATGGATTGGCACACACAGGTGGAATATTGGTGCTAAATGAAAGGTAAACCTTTTTCTACAAGATTCATCTTATTATTTGCATGTAACTAATATTTTTGTATATCAGTTGGTTTTTTCGCTATAATGCCTAGGAGCTTAGGAATGGGGGCAGTTAGGTTCAGGGCCTCAGGTCTGGTAGGGTTAAGCTGGAAACAAAAAATTCAAATTTCGGCTATCCTCCAAATAATGGTCCTAAATTATCGAGGCTGAAAATATACCTTAACAGGGCCCCAGTCACATGTAAATTGCGGACCTCTTCCGGCGACTACACAGCATACCGGCGAGAGTATCTCCCACGATGCTAAACTAGATGGCTGGGACTCATAAACAAATAAAATGGAGGAAGCTGCATGAGATGCTGTAGCTGCTGCTCGTGAGTCCCAGCCATCTAGTTTAGCCCTGCTCAGCACCATGTGTAGCTGCGCGGGAGATACTCTCGGCAGTGACTTTAACTCGGCGGAAGCTTTTTCACTGTATGCTGTGTAGTTGCTGGAAGAGGTCTGCAATTTACATGTGACTGAATTCTGTTAGGGTATATTTTCGGCCTCCATAATTTGGGACGGTTAAAGGTAAAGTCTGGAGATGTGAACCAGCGTCATTGCACACGGTTATAAACCATAAGTGCTCTGCCACAAGTACGGACAGCTGATAAAAAACTGTCCACGCGTGTCGCCGTTCGCATGTAACTCTGTAACTACAGCGTTACTGGGACGTTATTTGGAGGATGGCCCAAATTTCTAGCATTTATTTCAAATGAAGTGGTTTGGACAACTAACAAGAATGCCCTGGTACTATCTTCCACAGCGAGCCACACTAAAACGTTACAACGGGTATAGAGCGAGTGGAAGACCTCGGAAAATATGGAGTGATGGCATTAAGAACAGCCTTACAGAAATGAACATCAGTCTTAATAGTGCTCTTGACAGAGCTCATCAACAAACATTACATCTTCCCCCGAAACTTCGATGAGGTACAAGGTGGAAGAGAAGAATATTTTCATTTTATTTTTAAAGGAGGGGGGGGGGGGGGGGGGGGGGGGGACACAATTGAAAAAGACAAACCTGAAGTATATGTAGCCTAGAACTTCCTCCAAACTTGACAATGTGACCAACTCTGAGTCGATGATACACTTTTGGAGAAATTTTCTTTTTATTAACCCATGTCCCATGCGTGCTATCCAAGTCGTAAACATACCAACCCTTTTCCCGAGAAGGGGTAGAGATGCAATTATACTGCAACACGGCATGGTATCTAGACAGCGATGGGTGTTCTAAGGTCACATCACAGCTAGGAAGTCTGCCAAACACGTAAAACGATCGAGTTTTTAGCGACACCGTGTCAATAATACTGCCATTTTTCAAAACATCAAAACTATACTCTCCCTCTGGCTTGCCACTCCATTCTGGTTCTTCGTAGGAAACGGATGATTTGTTTGCCAGCACTTCAGTATCCTTGTTTTCCAGGGCTTCTGAATTTATATACTTATTGTCAAATTCAGCATTAGCATCCGAACTTGTATATTTAGATGACTGCTGTACTACCTCCTCTTCTTTCTCTGAAATCTCATGTTTCTTTTTCGACGTCGACGTCAAAAGCGAAAGTGGGATGATAATCGGCGATTTAAATTCGTTTTCTGTGTGTTCGTCGTGAGTTGTATTAAGCTGAAAATCTGTGCCCCCAAAAGCGTCCTGTGCGCTTTTGGTTTCAGTTCCATCTTCGGAATTTGCAGCAGAATCATCCATTACATGCGAGGCGTCAGCCTCCGTACTCATCTCCGTACTTTCTATGGATGCGGCATCCATATTGGAAATACACTCGAGCTTGTAGAGTAGAGCTACTAACGACACAGTTTCGATTTCGTACAATATAAAACAGACAGTTCTAGTACTGGGTTTAGCTATAAGCTACCGGTTAGGGCTTCACAATCTGTAGAGGCTTCCAGTTTGTTTAAAAAATGCAGCTTTCTTTTAAAGTATTTGGGAATAACATTTCTTAAAGAAATTATCTTATTGATTATTATTATTTTAGTAGAGTAAAGATCCCATTACACATCTTTAGGCGCATCGGGCATATAAGAAGAGCATCCATATTTCCCAGTCCTTAAGAAAGAGAATAGGAGCTTTTGAGCTGAAATACTATAGAAAGATTCTCAGAATATCTTGGACAAAGAAGATGAGAATTATTGACATCTTAAAAGATCTGAACATCAAGGAAGATTGGCTAATAAACAGCATCCTTTCTCGAAAGCTGAAATATTTTGGTCATATCAAGCGCCACGACGGATTGGAAAAAATTATAGCAGAAGGCATGGTACCAGGAAGGAGGGGCAGAGGCCGACCGACACGAAGATGGGCACAGGATATAAGTGACTCCTTGAGTTTGAAAGTTCATGAAGCGGGGGAACTGGCAAGAGACCGAGTTTCTTACAGGCAGACTGTGATGAGAGCGACGTTCTGCAAAGGACCTGCTACATGATGATGATGATCCATATTTCTAGACCACTAGGTGGGTAATTAATGTAGTCAGCATTACGACGGCCATCTTTACTTCCTCGGGACATACATCCTGGTACCCATTTTAGGCTGGGCTGACCTGCGACGTCACATATCACGATAAAAATCCACACAGCCAGCAGTGGGTTTCGATCGCGGTACGTTTGATTATTATTTTTTGGTGTATATCTTCTTCTTCTTCGCGTTCGGTTTCGTATGCTCAGATCAGACCATCAGGCGGCTTGCCTTTATGAACTCGCATGTCAGCTGCAGGTCCTGCATGGTTCCCCATAGCTTGCTCTGCACACTCTGCTCTTGAGGCCAGGTGTTGCTTAATCCTGGTCCGCCGATGCGCAGAGCTACAGTACCATCAGTAGTTTGGGGTCGATTCCTTCGAGGCTCGGAATCCGGCGCTGTTCCCGCCTGGCGGTAGTCCACAGGAGCAGCCCCATAACGGTGTACATATCTTAGCATAATCATTAACCGTATATTGCATTGATGTCCGTTTCCATTCTGGTGCTGTATTTACTTATTTAGGAATCGACATCATAGCACACCGGGCATACTCATAGTGGAAACTTCTGAAAGCTGCAAATAAAGAGCACCCTCTGTGTGAAGTATGCATGCTGAAGGCTAGGAGAGGAGTGGGTCAGAGAACCAGAGGAAAAGTATGTCCTATGTAGGGTCATGATCACTTTAGACAGGGAGTGCAGAGTGACCAGCCGTGGCTAATAAGGTGGAAGTCCAACAGTTGATTCACGACAAATCCCGTCCTGATGATCTGATTATTTACACAGATGGCTCGGCGGTGAGAGGAGAAAGAAAATGCCTAGGGGTTTGTAGCGAAAATCAATAGGAAATTTTTTGTGCAGGACAGCCTGGTATATGATACCACGACATCTAGCATGCGAATGAAGGTGGAGGCGGACACTGCAGTTTGCCAGTGGCTATAGAACAAGGTACATACACATGTCGTGACTCTGACAGAATGTTGAGAAAGGTGAAAACAGGATTGCTTCGAGCAGAGTGTCAAGCTTCACTTGCAAGGTCAAGGATAGTGAGCATACTTTGGATATTTTCTCCAGGTCATGCCGGCGTGGTGGGTAATAAACAGGAAACAGACTGGCTGGATTTGCACCGCTGGGTGGTGAATTGACATGACAAAGCAGATGTGGTCAGAGCCATTTGAGAACAAGTAACGAAGTCAGAAGAGAAACTAGATTATTATGTGCTGGAGAGGATGATGCACCTGGATGTGACCAGAGGGTTCGGCCGGCACACTACGCTCAGAGGAAAGGAAAGACGGACATACAACCAGACTACGACTGGCACCATTTCTATTGGAACCCTGCGCTGGTTGCTGAGGATGTGGACGGAGCACGTATGGGAATGCCCTGAGTGCTGTGTCAATTCTTAACTCAACTCAACTCATGTGTTACAGACGATTAGTCTGAAGCTCAAAACTCAAAGGAAAGGCGAGACGGATGTACAATCAGACAATTACTGGTAGTGGTACCATCGGAATTGGAACTCTTCGCTTGCTGCTGAAGATGGGGACAGAGGGCTTATGGAAGTGTCTCGAGTGCTATGATGTCGATTCTTTATTCAACAATCTGTCGTTCTGAACAAAGACGTTGCAATTAAAACAAAAACCAAATGAGCAGGAGAAAACTTTTAATTCATACATAACGTAGAAGTGTGCACAAATATATACTATTTTCCACCTTACTATAAGCTTTGTTTAATTTAATAAAGCACATTTTATTTTATGTTTGATTACTGTTTATATTTTGAATGACACCCACACACCCACACACAATGCCACTCTAAAAGTATATTTCTATATACATATTTATTGGGCCACCAGTGCTGTCTTATCACATACACCCACTGAACACTTGTCCAGATGCCCTAGGAGCATAGGGTGCCAAGCTAATCTGTGTACGCCAAGTGACCATTTATTTTTTATTTTTGCGATCCCTGTCGTAGGGACCCAGCCCAGTGGTTTGCCATGGGACTCTTAACGCTGCTAAGACGTCTCCGAAAAATGGGTGGGTGGGGGTGCAAAAGAGGGCGGGGGGTGGCCTAAAAAATGAACGAGAGCGTGGATGGATGCAACGTATACATCGTATTTCAAGACACCGAGTTAGGCCGCAGTGCATAACAATGAAGACGCAGAAGGCTGTAACACATACAGTACCGCCGGCCGCTGACAACGTGGTAAATAGAACGTGCTGCTGGCCGCTCACAATGCGGAACATAGAACGCTAAGAGTATTGAAAGGAACACAACGCGACACCCTTAGAACATACAGCAGCCCGTGGGAACGGCCATTGTCATGAGTGGGAGCCGACAGGAACATTAAAATACTTACTTCTTCTTCTTCATCATTCCGAGCATGTGATGTTCATAGCTGCATATATCATCCGCCTCCACTTATCTTTCTGGTTGGCCTTCTCTTTCCAGTCAGTGACATCAAGTCTTTGCAGAGAGCTCTGGGTATTATCTCTCCATAGTCTTCTTGGTCTGCCTCGTGGTCTACGACAATTTCAGCTCCCTTGTGAATACAGTTTTTACCTCTCCGCCATCCATTCTCTCAATATGCTTAGCTATTTCAGTCTATTAGCTCTCGTGATGCCAGCAATCAATTGTGATTTAAACAGATGATGGATTTCGTGTCTTCATTGACGCTTCCGCTGTCCATTTCTCGCTTTTTGCTGATGGGTCCAAAGATTCGTCGTCAGACATCGCGTAAGACGTGTTTGCAAAATTTTACTATAAAACCCTATAAAAGGCTCTATAAAATGAACATTGCTTTCAAATGTATTGACAGAAATTGAAATGAATTTTTCAGACCCCTACAGATCGTTAGACCATGCAGCGGATGTAGCTTATTTAGATTATACCTAAACCAAGCTATGCTGGCGTTCCTAGATAACACGAAATGCGAAAAACCAGACAACCCTCGCAACGATCATGGCATGTTTGAGTACATATCCTCGGTTGGAAGTTGAAAGAAAGAAGATAATGAAAAATGAAGAAAAATGCCATGGGAGCAATTGTTATTTCCATGTAACCAGGGACAACCAACGATTCTTTAAAAACTTCGTGTGGTAAAATAGGAAATGAAAATATTCACAAATCGCAAACTCTTTATTAAAGAATAAGCTTTTATTTGACATATAATACATAAGCGAAACAAACATTTTTTATCTACGTTTTTGAACGAATTATAAACATTCTTATTTATTTGTGGAGAAAATACGAATCTCAGTAAAATGATTATAAATGTTATACAGCTCTACTGCCAGAATTCAACATGGCGGCTCTAGAGAGATTCCTTGGCGACGACGTTGCAGAAATTTATAAAAACGCAAAATTTCTTTCAGAGCAGGAGTCTAAAAATGATCCAGAAGACGAACCCTATCGCTCAAAGTACAAAGCTAGGGAGCTATATAAAGAAATTAGCAGTAGAATCAAAGACAAATTAACTGGGATTTCAAATGTTGATTCCGAAGAGTTTAAGACGCTGCTCATTCTTTCAGTTGGTGTGGATCAGATTATTGGAGTAAACTTTATGGATACTGAAGAACTAGCTGAAGGTGAAGATTACCTGATGTCATGTCTGAAACGCATAGAAGAGAACAAGTTAAGCCAGGCGGTAACTTTGCACATTAGTGTATTGAATCATTTAGGCATTCTTTGGAGTCAGAGAGGAAACCTGGAAAAATCCATGGAGTTTTTAACAAAGGCTGAACAGTTGTATCATAATTATAAGGAAAACGTAGGGGACGCACCGGAAACTTTAACAGAATTGCTGGAACAAGTTGAGGGTAGTGATAGTGAGAGAGCTCACCTTCGTTGTGTGTCATTTGAGAATACCCATACACTTACTTTGTATTATTTGGCACAAGTCTACGGTAAGGTTGATAAGAGCGAACTGTCAGCAAAATATTGTCACATGACTTTGCAGAGGCAGCTGCAGGCTGGTAATTTTAATCCCATTGATTGGGCATTGAATGCTGCAACGTTGTCCCAGTATTATCTTACTGCCGAAAAGTTTCAACATGCCAGACATTGCTTGGCGAGTGGGTCTTTCATATTTGAGAGTGCAAAGAAGAACATTGAGGAGCTGTGTGAACAAGAAGAGGAACTTCAGCGCCAGAGGGAAGCTGATCTTGATCGTTGTTGGATAAAGTATGGCCTGGGGTTGTTAGAAGCCTCACGGGATAAAATGTTGAGTGAGCTTCAAGAAAATGAAGATGAAGACCTGGAAGGCAACACCAAAGATGGAAAAGAAAACTCCGCATCCCACAATGCAGACAAACATTCCAGGAAATCGTCTATAAATGGTGAGGGTTCCCCAGAACAAACAGACAAGGATGATAAAACATTTCACCAATTTCCTTTGGAACTAACTCTTTATGAAGAACGAATCACAGATAAATTAGTTAGAACTTTTGATGATGCCAGAAAAATATTCCTGTTCGTCGTCGACAAAATCAACAGTGCTAAACAGTTTTACTCGCTCGACTCTCACGCCAGCGATGCTGTTGAAATTATTCAGGATCACAGCCGTGCTTACAAACTGCTGGCTTTCTTTGAGCTGGACATGAGTCGGCAGTGTAAGATGCATAAACGTCGGATTGACATGCTGTCAAGTTTATTGAAAGAGTTAAATCCGCAGTATTATCTGTTGGTATGTCGTCAGATCATGTTTGAGCTAGCAGAGACTTACAGCGACATGGTAGACCTGAAAATCACACTCATCGAGATGGAGAGAACTAGAGCCACAGCTTACAGCACAGCCAAAGTCAACAAACTAGTCCAGCAGAGCATTGAGAAGTACCAGGAGTATGTTGATTCTCTCAAAGGAGGCAAACCAGAACTTCCAGCAGAGTTTCCGGAAAATGATGTCCGCCCAGCTCTTGTGGCTTTCTTCTGCATGGGGAGACTTTATTCTAAACTTCTGGAACCTGAAATTGAAAAGAGGATTGCTGCTATTTCCAAGAGTTTAGAGTGCTACAAGTTTGTGGTTGATTACTGTGAAGCTCATCCTTCGGCAGCGGACTTGTTGGTTAATGAACTCAGCATCTGTAAAGAAATGGTGTCACTGTTACCTCTTAAAATGGACAGGCTGCGTGAACAGTGTTAGCTGGTTCTGAATAACCACAAACCCTGATAAGAGAGTTTTGCTTAAATTTCAAGGAAATTTATTCTTAGTAGCCACACAATTTAATTAGTGCCACACAGTTGTATATAGATATGTAGTGATGGTGTATTGGCTTTGTTTCTTGTATATATGCTAAAAGCAGTTTTCCCCCATGTTGTTTGTGCATGAATACTTATGAATATGTCTGACTTCATACTGGCGTAACTTTTTTCGTAAATAAATGTTATCCTTACTTAACATGTCAAATGGTGAAGGCATTCAGTTCCTTTACTCTGCTTTCAGCAGAGGCACCATTTATAGCTTATATCTGCAACAGCACAAGACTGGCTTAGACTTTTATCCCACTGTCTCCTGTTCTCAACGATTCTCTTCTGTATAATTATGCACCTTAGTGTCATTGTATCCCTGTATGAACTAGCAGTTTCTTGGATGTTCTCTGTTTTACCTGATTTGTTTTATCTGATTCTTGTGAGTGTTTGAGGGTTCCATTTGGAGGAAAAAATAATAAACCTATTACCAACCTAACAAGCATGTCATAAAAGGCAGCAAATTAGGGGTTTGCTGAAATTGGATTTGTTGAGTTGAAAGGTACAGATATCGTAGCCCAGCTGTAAATGACAACAGAACATGTCAACCACCCATTTGAGGCAAAACGCAGAAGTTTTTAACTGAGTCATGCCTAATATTAAACTGTTACATACACTCTTCTCTCAATTATGGTCATTAAAAATATGAAATAAAGTATCTTTGAAATAGTTGGTTGCCATTTGTGGGGATCTCATTTCTTCAGAACATTTAATTAGATCTATTTTTCCTGCCATGGAAAAATGCTCAGAGATATGAGAGAGGATGAGCTGTCATCAAAGGCATTCATCCTTGAGACATTAACCCTTTTGGTACCAACAAACACATTATGTGTTGATATATATTTAACTGTCTTCTGGTACCAAAACAGTTAAGTATCGGCAGAGCTGAAATCATACTGGTCATAAATGATGCTGTGGTACCTGGTGACAAATTCCCTGGTGAATCTTCTTGATTGTAATTGCTGGAAAAATGGACACCTTTCATGTCTCTATCACTTTGGGCATAGAGTGCTTCACCTACATTTTTATAGACCAAGCAGCACTTGATGAATGATGTTGTCAGCATCATTTCAGCGACCTTTACTTCCCAAGACATTACCTAGTACTCATTTTGGTTCTTAATATATAACGTACACCAAACACGAAATTAACTTGGGAAATCCACAGCTGACCTGACAGTCCATTATTTCAAGGGGTGCAAGTGTGCTGTTGTGTGGTGCTGTTTTTGAGTGTTCATCTAGTGTATTGTAACCCTAACCCTAAACTTGGCTGTAGATAAATCGCGAGAAACTACAACCTGAGAACCCTAGAATTTATTGGGAATGTCTCCCGTGACGTAGTCCTGACGTCAGGGGTAAGTTATTAATTAAGTACCCTCATTTTAGGCCATTCTCAACCTGGGAACCAAGGTCAGATTTAAACAATATCCACTCTGATATGGATTCCAACCCTAGACTTTCCAGCTGGCAGGCGAACGTCAGGTCACTACGCTACTATGACCTCCAGTTTATAAAGTTTGGAATTGAGTATGGAAGTAGAGCTTTTTCTAGAAAGAAAGGTGCTGCCCTGTACTACAAACTGCCTTAAAAAGGTGCCGGTACTCACAACAAAGTATCTACTATTAAGTTTAGTTAGTTGTGTATCCTTTACAGGACGTTGCAGAACCAACCCTAGCATTTTTTGGCTGTTGTGGCTTCTAGGCAAATTTTTGTATTCAGTAGTTTGCCATTGCTTGCTGAACTGTCAGCTATCAGTACCACTGTCGAAACCAACACAAGACAAACCATCCGCAGCTGGGATCGAACACATTATGAAGCATGTTCACAACTCCTAAGCCACGGACGCTGACTATAGTTGCGCTAAAAAAGAAACAAAAATGATACCTTAAAAAAGGTGCTGGTGCTGTAAATTATAGTGAATTTCTGTACATTGGAGACATTCAACTTGACCTCTGGGATAAAGTTAGGGCTAATTGCTTTACTAGATATTATTGATTTGAGTACTTAATTTTCCAAGGGGAGTGATATAATTTCTAAATTTTTTGGAGAAGAAAGGTGCCAGTACTCACCACAAGGTGCCAGAAAAGGTGCCCTCACCAAAAGGTGCCAGAAAAGGTGCCAGAACTCACCAAAAGATGCCAGAAAAAGTTCCAGAACTCACCAAAAGGTGCCAGAAAAGGTGCCAGAACTCACCAAAAGGTGCCAGTACTCACCAAAAGGTGTCTGAAAAGGTGTTTCTTTATCTTATAGTTCACCGCTGTAAATTCTGGCCAAAAAAAATATAGTGTTCGCCCACTTCTGGACTCTGATCTCATTCCAGAACTTGAATTGTACATGCACATCCGTTTTTAACAGAACAGGTCTATTTGTTAGCAGACTGTTGGTTCCTTGCCCCTCAGGCAATTGCATCCTAATTTCAGAGGAAACGCCCCTAATTAGTTGACTTCTACAACATGCTTGTGGAGGGGGGGGAGAGCAATCAGTCCATCCAACCCCCCCCCCCCCCCCCCCCTCTTCCCTCGCCGAAAGGGGCCCTGGAACCCACCAAGGGATGTGCCGGCACTCCTTACTTAGTTCCTATTACAATAGTACTAAAAAAAAAGATGTCTAAGGAAAGGTGCCGGTACTGAATACTGCCAGAAAAAACACCTTGATTATAATCTTAAGTTGCCATGAACTGTAGGTTAGGATTTTTCTGTGTGCTCCCAACATAAAAAAAATTTCTGTCACTTACTGAGGATTAAACATGGTTCTCTTGCATGAGCTTCCAGCAGTCTAACCACTGAGCCAGTGGCCCAGACACAGACAATTTAAAACTATTTTCCATTTCCCCACATTAAGTAAATTCTGTTGGTACAAGACACATTTGACTGTAACTTATTATATCTGTAGCTGTTACTTCAATAGTAAATGTTTGGACCCGAGGAAGTCAAAATTATAATGCCATGAATAAGAAGAGTTAAAGTAACAGGGCAAAGTAGGTTAGTATAGCAGTTGCAGGGATGACATGGAATTAAGAAAAGTAGATCTTTCAATAGAAAGTAACTCCTTGAGTGTCAATGAATCAACAGTCTGCATCCAAATGAACCAGTTATGCAAAATGGATATACACACAAATCTCAATTTCTGGAACAAGATTAAAGTCCAGAAGTAGGTGAGAAACTATAACTTTCTGCTGGCGTTTATAGCTTGTGATCACGAAGCAACAGAGATGTGGTTTCTGAGACGAATGTTACGAATACCTTGGACGGCCAGCGTAACTAACAACGATTGCTTGAAAGAGGCTAATGAAAGTTGATCTCTATATACAACAATAAGAAAAAGACAAACACTGTTCTTTGGCCACATAATGAGAAGAGAGACATTGGAGAACATCGTGTCAACTGGAAAGGTCAGTGGAAAAAAGAGGTGGAGGCAGACCTAGAGAGATGATGCTGGATGGGCTAAAACGATGACATAGAGGGATATCATCAAGAGAGCTGTTCGAGGCAACCAGGGATGGTGATCTGTGGAGACGCATGAGCGCCTACGCCAGTTGGCAGTGCACATGATGATGATGATGATGATCATGAAGAAGATGAAGATGCATGAGTAAACAAATGCATTGACTACCTTTCTCTAATAAGAGCCGTGGTATCCCACAGGTTAGCGCCACTGATTAATAGCCTGGTGGTTTGTGTTGAATACCCAGGGGGGTCTTTACTATATTAGCTGGTCCATGTTGCATGGAGGAGAATCAGAAAGGGATCAGGGATCAAGAAGAAAGTGATTACAGATAGGGCTAGAGCTGAGAACTGTAAATAAGCTTAGTTAGTTAGTTAGTTAGTTAGTTGGGTTATCATCATTGCACTCCGGACATGTCCATAGGTGCTCAGATCCTCTCCTCAGTATGAACCCCAACGTCCGATGGCTAATAGTACCAGTTCTATGTTGATTAACAAGTCGTCTGGTGTGCGTCTCGTTTTTTGCTATGCCGATCTTAATTCCCAAGTCTGCCATTCTGGCGAGTGATGTGGATTCACTGCCACCAAAGTCGTCTATCCTTCCCATTTCTCTGAGGGCATTAATAATATCAGCATGATCCATAGGCTGACCGTCGGTAGTGATAGCGGATCCAGCCAACCTGTCAGCTCTTTCATTTCCATCGATGCCTGCGTATCCCGGAACAAAAATAAAGGTGACTCCACGCACAGTGGACTTCTGTAATGATTCTAGCCATGGTCTTCGCACTGAACCTGCATGATAAATAATGCAATGGCCAACAATGGTCTTGAAAGCCCATGTTCTAATTGTAGAAGACCTTTCTGAATGTGAGCGGGTTTTGCTTATCTCACTGATCATGGCCATGGGTAGTGATTCCCAGCCTCCTCTTTTAGCACGTCGGTTGGACAGGCTAGAAAGACCCCTCCCTATACAGGCTCTTTACCTACAAACACTTGTTTCCTGCCTTTATTGTCCTAGATCCTTCCAGGCCTGAATTAGGCTTATAAAACACCTCAGGACTCAGAATCAGCTAAAGTTTCATAACAAATGAAAGAAAGAGTGGTCCTCATCACTTATGATGATTGAACAACAAACGTAGCATAGTGTAACATTGGAGATACAGAAAGTTGCCAACCTGATTATAATATTTTGTAATGACCCTGTCTTCTCCTCCTCCATCTTCTTCTTCTTCTCCTCCTCCTTCCGCCTTTCAGCAGCATGTTTTGAAAAAGCATCAGGTGCGAGCTTTGGTATGTGCTGCATACATACTGGTATTTACAGCCTGTGATATTTCATCTATCCATCGCTTGCATGGTTGACCTCTACATCTGCTTCCATAATGTCTAAGTGACAGGGCTCTGTAATGACCTCTCTTGTCATATTTTATGCTTGTAATGACCTCTCTTGTCATATT